TGTAAAGAGTCGAGTTTGTGCTAAGAAAATCCAGTGATTGACATTATGACTAATGATCGATATCTTTACGACTGAAATATGATGACAGGCATCAACTAAGTCATCAATGCTGACATCAATTTTGTAGTCAACTCTCATGACAACTACAGGCTGTTGATTGTCAATTGTATTTCAGTTGACCTTTTTGACTTAGGCTAGAGATGTTAGTTGACTGCATAATGACTCAAGGAGCCTTTGTTGAAGGAAACATTTTAGCAATGAATTACCAAGCAAGAACGTTTACCAATTAAAGGACTGTTTATTCGGAGATCTGATGCATGGGTTACAGAAAATGATTTCAACGTGAATTCCAGTATTTGAATACCGACTAAGACTATGTATGGTACTAACTGAAGCGAAGTAACCAAATACATGAAGTGCTTAAAGCTCTCGTCGAACAACTCTTCACAGATATGATCCAAAGGGGGGCTCCTTTCATTGGTAGATGCTCATCTTTTTTTCATGTACCTGAGTATCGCTATCAAACAGTGAAGAATATCCGTTAACAATTTCTTAAGGGAGGAACGTGAATAATTAAAAGTAAACTTAATAATTAGTCAATGACCTTCAATTCTCCTAAAGACATCATTCTGACGAGTATATTCCTCTTATTTACACACAAGCTCCTTAGTCACCAATTTGCTTTATGGAAGAATATGCTCATTCGTTCATATCGTGATCATTAATTTACACTTTTTAAGTATGAATATCAATTCAGTCTATCCATTATCATACAAAATGCTTGGAAGCTTGTCTAAAATTTTCGACATGATTGAATTGGAACAGTTATGATGGTTGTAACTAAAATGAAAATGATTTTTTAAGATGCCTTGATCACGTAAACTTTTACAGTGAACGGGCCATTGGTTACGTGCGTTGTGCAGTATTATTGGTACAGAAGGAGCAACGCCAATGGCTGTTGTTGCCATGGTTATGTCCTGTTCAGGACAGGGATTGCCGTCAATGACATCCGACTATGGAAGAATAAGTCTATTCAGTATAAAAGCCGCATAAAGAAACAATAGATACGTACAGTGAGTGAGTGAGTGAGTTTGGTTTTATGCCGCACTCAGCAATATTCCAGCTGTATGGTCCGTAAATAATCGAGTCTGGACCAGACAATCCAGTGATCAACAGCATGAGCATCGATCTGCGCAATTGGGAACCGATGACATGTGTCAAACAAGTCAGCGAGCCTGACCACCCGATCCTGTTAGTCGCCTCTTACGACAAGCATAGTCGCCTTTTGTGGCAAGCATGGGTTGCTGAAGACCTATTCTACCCCGGATCTTCACGGGTCGAGTCTGGACCAGACAATCCAGTGATCAACAGCATGAACATCGATCTGCGCAATTGGGAACCGATGACATGTGTCAAACAAGCCAGCGAGCCTGACCACCCGATCCCGTTAGTCCCCTCTTACGACAAGCATGTGTTACTGAAGGCCAATTCTAACCCGAATCTTCACGAGTAACTACATTTTGAAAGAAGCAATAGAAACAATGTACGTACAACGTGGTGGTGGTGGTTAGAAAGCTGTACAACTGAAGGATATACTATCATAGAAATGTTCGGATAAAGCGTCTTTGACATATTTTGAACACTTAACTAAGGTCTTTGAATGTTCAAAATTGTCCGTATATATAAATATGTCTTTTGTTTTAAACAGCATGTATGAGAAATATTTGATTTCAAATCATAATAAATGGGGACATTTAAACATAAAATTCACATTCAGTGACAAAATATAATGACAAAATCTATAAAATCCTCAAATTTCTAACACCAACTACTCTTCTACCAGTATTATTAAATGCCTGTAATTTACCTGTTCTTAACAATGGTAACATGCGATCCTTTTGAAGTACATTTAAATAAATATGTTTCCTTTGAAATTAACATGTTTTACATATCCGTTGTCTCCCCAACGTTACATTATATCACAAGAAAAAAAACTCCACACGAAGTTTACCTAGCACTCGGACGTCACAGACAATGTAAATAGAAGGGTAATCTCTATCTAACAGAAATAATGCAGGTAAACATAAACAAATGTTGCAAAGTCACGTGTTAATATCCCCCGCCACGACCTGGTAGGGAGACATAGGCTGAGCTCCGTTCGTCCGTCCGTCCTTCATAATATAAAGACACACACACACACACACGCACGCACACCTATATATATATATATATATATATGTGCGCCTGTGCACACACCCATATATACATGTATGTGTATATGTTTCAGTAAATGTGTCAAATCAGGAAATGTGTAAATTTCCTGGAATATTTAAGAAATGTGGACATTTCCTGATTCACTCAGTAAATGTACACATTTCCTAAATATTCCAGAAATTTACACATTTCCTGATATGATTAATGGCATCACAAGTGATGTTGGCATACTTGTCTAACTCTTTGAACATTTTGTCTCTCCCACCATGACCTGTCAAAATGTGGGCCCATTCTCCTGTTTTCATTGCAAATTAAGCAATAACTTCATATCAGGAAATGTGTAAAAAAATCAGGCCCTAAAATCAGGAAATGTGTAAATTTCCTGTAATATTTAGGAAATGTACACATTTCCTGATTTGACACATTTACTGTAACATATATATATAGTTATATTATGAAGGACGGACACACACACATATGTGTGTGTGTGCGCGCGTGTGGGTGGGTGTGTGCGTGTGTGTATACGATAGCGGAATCCTTGTTTATTCAGTAAGATTTACTTGTAGAGACAACAGAAACTAAGGTATTTTTCTTGCAAGGCAAATAAGTATTTGCATGTTGGTAGCTTACTGAATCAGGAATGTCTAAAGTGTGTGTCTTCATCGTTTCATGTGGAAGAACCCTCCACACAAGACCAATGGTGCAGTCTGGTTGGATGAAGTAACGTGTTACAAGGCGTTTGAATGTCGGAAATTGCTGAAAGTTATAGTCTTGAATACGTCATACAAAACGTTGGTAAATATTTAAATAGCGAATCTATTCAATAGATACACAAACATTTAGCTGAAATCTGCAAATGTCATTCTCTGACAAAAGAATAGATTATATATGTACATGGGCATCAGTTTATCACCACCGACGTTTTCTTATAAGTACGGAAACTCTACGTTGTATGTACTGTGTGCATTATAATTTGTTCTCTCCAGTGTGCTCGGCCACATTGCAACTGTAGAAGTTGATTGTGTTTGCACTATATAGTATCAGATCCGTGATCTGATGGTCATGCTAGCTGACTTGGTAGACACATGCCATCGTAAACCAATTGCGTAGATCGATGCTCGTGCTGTTGATCACTGGATTGTCTGGTCCAGACTCGATTGTTTACAGACAGACGCCATATAGCTGGAACAAAGGTGCGGAGTAAGGACAAAAGCAATCAATAACATTCCACTCCTAATAAAGCGCGCACGTCGACGAGTACCGGACCTTGTCTCTAACGGCGACGGAAGACAGATAGTTACGAGAGATGGAGACGGTGTCGTCACCAGACCGTCAGTGAAATAAGGTTAAACAGCCCACGGCCAGAGCTCTAATGAAACTAATTCGGAGTCACTATCCCACTACACACTACTGCCGAAATATGCTGAGTAATGAGCTTTGCACTGAACATTTTTACATTAAAAACAGTCTGATAAACTGAGACGCCGTGCAAATATGATATGCCTTAACCCCTAGGTATTGGTATATGCACAATAGTAGGTATTGGTACAGACACAATAGTAGGTATGGAATATGCACAACATGATATGCACAATAGTAGGTATTGTTATATGCACAATAGTAGGTTTTGTTATATGCACAATAGTAGGTATGGTATATGCACAATAGCAGGTATTGTTATATGCACAATAGTAGGTATTGTTGGATGCACATTTTGTTATATGCACAATAGTAGATATTGTTATCTGCACAATAGTAGGTATTGTTATATGCACAATAGTAGGTATTGTTAGATGCACATTTTGTTATATGCACAATAGTAGGTATTGTTATATGCACATATTGTTATATGCACAATAGTAGGTATTGGTATATGCACAATAGTAGGTATGGAATATGCACAACATGATATGCACAATAGTAGGTATTGTTATATGCACAATAGTAGGTTTTGTTATATGCAGAATAGTAGGTATGGTATATGCACAATAGCAGGTATTGTTATATGCACAATAGTAGGTATGGTATATGCACAATAGTAGGTATTGTTATAGGCACAATAGTAGGTATTGTTGGATGCACATTTTGTTATATGCACAATAGTAGGTATTGTTATTTGCACATATTGTTATATGCACAATAGTAGGTAATGTTATATGCAGAATAGTAGGTATTGGTATCATACATACAACCAACTATTTCGCTCGTCACCCCAAAGACCCGGGTTCGATTCCCCACATGGGCACGTTGTGTGAAGCCAATTTCTGTTGGTGTTCCCCGCCGTGATACTGCTGGAATATTGCTAAAAGCGGCATAAAACTAAACTCACTCACTATAACCAACTACTGACAACACCAATAATATCCGAACGTATAAATAGAAAGATAATGTACACAGTTGTACTAAACGGGACTGTTTGATAAAACTATTCGACCCGCGCTTATTTAGGATAATTTAATTATTCAATTGACTGAGTTGAGTTTTACACCGCACTCAGCAATATTACAGCTATATGGCGGCGGCCTGTACATAATCGTGTCTGGACCAGACAATCCAGTGACAACAGCATGAGCATCAATCTTCGCAATTGGGATACGATGACATGTGTCAACCAAGTCAGCGAGCCTGACCACCCGATCCCGTTAGTCGCAACTTACGACAAACGTGGGTTACTGAAGATCAGTTCTAACCTGGATCTTCACGGGTTTATTTAAGATGAAATACGGTTCAGGCTAATGTCTGACATGTGGTGGAGTTAGTTTGACCTTTACACAGGTGCTCAGCTGTCTGATTATTTGAACGCTGTGCGTGTTTCGATAAGCCGTACACGTTCTATAGTTTGGAGATTTTCAACTCAGGTATGTTTTTTGAAACCACGTTTAAATGTTTCTGTGTAATACAGGTGTAATGAGTGAATGTGATGTTACGTAAAGGGCAGCAAAATACAAACTGACTGGCCATGTGTCATTTCCCAGAACTGGAAAATATGGTCCTGACCATGTCATAAATGTTGGTATTCATAATGTGGGTACATAATCCATAGACAAATTGGTTTGAGGGGAGACCTTGGGGTTGTGGCTTGGCACTGTGTGTAGGCACTAGTCACGAAACAAGACAAGAAGGTCAATATGTATACTCAAAATATTGGACGTGTCCAATGATCTCCGAGAGGGAAGTCTTACTGTTTTGGAAACATAAGTAGAACATTGAAATAATGTAGACAGTGATCGCGACATTAGATACATTTTGCAATGTCTACTTAGGTTCGCGCGTTAACAACGGAATTATCTAAAGCCAGGAAATAGATTACTTAGACACTACAGATTATTCGTCAAAAGGTCAAAGATAAACATATGACGAAAGGGTACGCTACCGTAAATTTAATGCAAACATCTTGATATGAAGGTGGCTTCTTTTCATTTGATTTTTGTTTCACACCGCACTAAGCAATATTCCAGCTATATGACGGTAGTCATATAATCGAGTCTGAACCAGACAATCCAGTGATCAACATCATGAGCATCGAACTATTGGGACAATTATGATACGATAACATGTGCCAACCAGTCAGTGAGCTTGACGACCCAATTCCCTCAGTCGCCTCTTATGACAAGAATGGGTTGCTAAAGACAAATACAAACCCGGATCTTCACGGGTGTGCTTTTTATACTTCACAGTTATTAACAAACCATTTCTTCTGATGAGTGAGTGAGTAAGTGAGGGAGTCATATCAGTGATACTTCAGTCCCACATATCATGATAATGTATGCACTTCGTTGCAGTTGTCACGCAAGATTATGGACGGGGTGTCTGTATACCAAGTGTGTTTGTTCGTCTCAACCCTCGGCTCTGTATATGCCGCCCTTCAACCGTCCGTCCTTCTCGCAGTGTTGTGGCTTGTCATTGGTTACATGTGTTACACGACACTACACAAGAAGTGTGTCAAGACACTGTCAGCATATGGCAGGGTTGTCCTTATCACCGGCTGTGATACAGGTACACGTGTACTTTGTCCATTATATTCAATATTAGCGACGCTTACAATAACAGGAGCCAAATATTTTATTGAGCTGTCAAACATGGGGGTCCTGAAGACCCCTAATTATTAGCTTTAAGGGTCCCTGCAGGCAATACGAGGGTCCCGTGAAGTAATGGTTTAGAGAACTGCATGTTTTGATAATTTCTTTAGAGCCTGGAATGAATAATTGATCATATAACTCATTTTGTGAAAGAAACAACCAAACACTCAGCAAAGACTGTGATAGATGTTTTATGGGTACAGTGAATAAGGACGCAGCAAATTTTGTCTGCGTCCATTCTCTACATATGTGCGTCGCTTAAAACCCTGGGTTTTGTATAATGTTATTGAGGCACTCCTGTTTCACTCCCGGTTGTCGAGAAACCGATTGTTCGTTTTGGACCAGTTAGGAAACAACTGTTTTCATAATTATACATACATATTAGGATAACTCATGGTATGAAAAACAATAAAATTCTGGGGAGAGAAAACGTATTACAAGCATTCGTATAATATACAGAATAATTCGTCTTTTACTATACGTGCTCAGTTTGAATGCATGTTTACTCATTGTGTTTGACTCGTTATATTGAATAAAATGTCTATTATGTATAAACCTGTAGGATGATCAAACCTATGTTATGAATACATGTACATACTATGTATTTAGCTGACGAAAGCTCACTATATGCAATATTGGTTCTTAGAAAGGATGTTTCACATCAAAGAACACAAGCGCATGGTAACGACTATGTATTTATAACATGGTAATAGCATTCTGTTATTTGTCAAGTTTGATAAAACCCTCACTATTTCAATGACCAGTAATTGATGTGATTATTCTCTTGCTTGACAATAATGAAAGAACGTTTCCAACTGAAGAATATTAGTTCACAGGATGGTGAGGTGAGGTGAAATGAGGTTTAACGTCGAACTTAAGATTATTACGCTCAAATGACGACGTGCGTGCGTGTGTAAGTGTGGCTGCTTGTACTAGCTCTAACCACTACACCACGGAGACGGTTTCACGGGGAGGCAGTTTGAAGAGCGACCCTAGCTTCAATGTAAATAGCTCCTCAGTACCCAGGTCGAACACAGCACATGACTTATCTCGCCCATCTAAATATACTGACGGACTAAAGAAAGTATACATCCATGTGTGATGGTGACTAAAATAGCAACAAACAAGAGATGATTATTCGTCGGGGGAGTACTTGATACTGGTATCATAGACGAATTTACACCTTAGGTTTGAAGTGTTTTGTCGAATGCTTTAGCCTAGTAACTGTTGTCATGTTTTGATTAAATCTATTTTAAAGTGTTTACGTTCTTTTCCCCAACTGTTTACTTAACGCTTGAACGGATCGCTTGTTAGTGCCTTTCTAACCTTGATCATGATGGATGAATAGTATTAATGCAGTTCGAATATCTAAATGAATTCCAAACAAATTTTGATGTGAATACGATTAATTTTACAATACACAAGACAAGATTGCCTGTTGATTAGAATGGATCTTTGAAAATCAGTCACAACACCAGGTGTTCGCGAATAGGGTAAGGATCTACCTTTAGCACCCGCCACCCGTACACTTTGTAATATGTTTGTTGCCGTATCCATCAGCAGTAGTCATGTAAGGAAACTATAAGTAAAGAAACTTGACAATCAAGTGATAGACGAAAGCCCAGAAAACAAACAAACATTTAAATATGTTCTAGATACAAGTATTATTGTCGAGCTTCAAACATTTCTCATGTTGCTGACTCAGCATAATTGATAAATGTTCCTGAGCTTATGGTGAAACTTTGTGGCTTCAGTCCACCAGCAGAAAAATTGGGCATGTCACCAAGCAACAGCACAATCTGATGCTTGATACCAATAGTCCGTATGTCTTGAGAACAACGTCATGCATCCCACGGTTAAGTAGGGCACATGTCAGACTTCCTTTCAGGTGGTTAGTGGTCCATCTCCAGCAGATACTTTGCTCAACGTTTCACGCAGTATACATCTTTACAACCAGAACGTCCCAGTTTGACTTACTCTTTCATGACAACGATGAGATCGAGCTTTGACATGCGTTTTCAATTTTGTGTCTTACTCCGGATGGTTTTCTTTTTGATGATGATTTAAGTTCAGGAAACATGAGACATTACACATCCAACAGTTATTCCACTTAGAAAATTATGCACATTTATGGTTTATCATTAGGAAAACAAGGTCCGGGGTTCAAGGTGGTTTGATTGTTGTAAGGTCTTTTCTATCAGAGCCAAGAATTATTCGTTCTACTTCATGTTCAACGATACAAATCCCATCTATACCATAAAATGTTGTCTGTCTGGAAATACATAAATGTTACCAATAAACCGTGTTTCCGTGTGTATGAAGGAATAGGTTACGGACTGGCACAGCGGCTGATCCTGGAGGGGTTCACTGTCGTAGCGACATGCCTTGACGTTGAGGGGCCAGCTGCTCGGGAGATGAAGAAGAACCAAAATGGTCGTGTGCATGTCTTGACACTTGACGTCACTTCCGATGAAAGCGTGGAGCTGTGTTTTGAAAGAACAAGAAAAATATGTAAAGGAACAGGTATAAACTCTGTATCTAATGATTTATTTGCTATTATTCTTTATAGTAGTATTTCGGCCATCGGCAAGGCAAAACATGACATGCGGCTTAGAGGCTTATTTTTATGAAAAAAGTTCCTCAGCCACCATTAAAAACGGCGATGGTCTAGCGAGAGGCATCCTTCGATGTGCCGCCAGCCTAGACCCAAAGTTCCGAATATTGACTGATCGCGAGTCCCGGTGGTGCGATGATAGAGCTTTGCAAGTGAAACAAGCACCGTCGTTGCTAAGTTAAACAAGATGGTCGTCCATCCTGATAACGCTGGGCCTGCCAGACCCGTCGTTGCTAAGCAAAATAAAGATGGCCCTCCAGCCTAGTAACGCCGGGTGTGGCAGACCCGTCGTTGCTAAACCCAACAAAGATGGCGGCCGAGCTTAGCAACGCCGTCTAGACCTGACGTCAGAGTATTTCTCTGGCTGTGGCCTGTCACGCGGGTATTGAATACAAAGCAAGGCACATACCCATTTTAGGGTTGTTGGCTGGTTGTAGCGAAAAGGATGTTTGAAAACAGTCGCTGAAAACATTTTTAGAAGCCACAATCAATTATTTTAAAATCGGGTTATATAAGCTTGAAAGCGTATGGGTTATATATAGCAATGTTAAAATCTACAAAAAACAGTTTGCTTGATGTGCATTGATATAAACAGTAGCTGTTGCCTAGCTGCTCTCGTCTGACTGCCTACGGTCGGGTTGACCTAATGTGGGTTTCTTGAAAAGTAGTAGTACAATGAGGGTTTATTATTTTTTACTAGGTTATGTTTACATCAACAAAACAGTTTAAGGTGAATCTTTGATGAGATCTTTGTTCTTGGTAAGGAAGGTTTGAATGATTTGTTGTCGACCCTGTTCGTCTTCGCCGATGTCAGCGTTTTTTCGAGTCTTGGTTCGAATCTCTTCTTTCATTCGGTGGTATTTTGCGATTTCCGACATCACCAAACGAAACTCTTCCTCGGAGATTTTGCTATCGGTGATCGCGGTGGAAATATGATAGTAGATCGTGTTTAACTTGGCTTCGGCCAGAACCCTGATCTCGTCATGCTTCAGCGGTTTCCGTTGCAGACGACATGAAATGAATTTAAGGGCTACTCCCACCACCCCCGATACCCCGGCGGTTATTTCTAACCCGAGGACGACGGGCGTGGCCACGATGGTGGATAATAAGCCAACGCCTGCTACACCTAATCCAATGCTAACTGTCACGAGAGATGTGTCCACATGGTCGATGGCATTGACGGCCCGATGGTATTTTTTGTGCAATCCGAGTCGCACGTCGCGTTCTCGTTCCAATTGGTGTTTAATTTCGCAGATCTGTCACAAACGAAATCCATCCACGGTTTTGAGCGTCGAGCCACGTCGTCCATGGCCGGATACAATCCCATCTGGACTATGTTATAAGCTTCAATTGGTCCTCCGTCACATCTTTGATTAATATATTTATAGCTAATGAGGTTGAGATTGTCATATAAATAAGCCCTTGATACTATAACGGGTTTCGTGGTATCAGGAAAACGACTAAAAACTCCCACCAGGTTGGTCGTCGGAACTGTTCCAGGTTGTATATAAATACGGCAACGTTGATGTTTATATTCGCTAACCCAACGTATGTTTAACCCATCCAAAAGATCACCTCATTTTCGGGGGTATTTCCAAGATAGCAATCTATAATCAGTGTTGAATGTAATTTCATACTGAAATCTGGATTTATAAAATCAAACTGATATGGGGGAATACCAAATATCAGTGCGGCTTGTTTATGGGTGGGGGATAACATAGAGCCACTCTGATCTGGCATTTGCAAAAGTATGAGGTGAGGTGCACCTCGCATCGAATGAGGTGCAGTCGTCCAAATAATCCCTTTATTTTTTATTTCGATGACATAACCATTATCATCTAAACTTATGTAGGGGTAGATGAATTGAAGGTTAATAAACCAGTCAACTTTTAGTATCTCTTGTCGTTGGTACACGTTGTTTTGTAATTGCAATACGTACAAGGCGTTTTCCGTACCGGGTTCGTCGAATCCTCGCATGTCCCCAAGATCGGAAAACGCGATGGTGGCGATTTGATTCGTGTTTGACACGTCGCCCATGGTCATGCTCGTATTATGGAAGAGTCTTCAATTGATTCTCAGACAATTTCTCGTGCGTAAACTTTAAGCTGATGAGGTGGATTTTTGGATGTAGAAAAATCCTCATGAGTGCGATTGTATTCTCCAAGTTAATCGTGAATGCTTCGAGACTCGCGTAAGCGTTGACGTTTTTCTGTATGTAAATCGAGCACACGTGATTTTGATGTTTTCGAGGCCAACGGAGGTTTACTTCCGTGATAATTTTTTAACATTTCGGTCGGGTGATGCCTCCCGAGAAAGACTTTGATATAAAGTGTAGAAATGTTTGGAATCCCTTGTGTGAAATCGTCCGTGTATTCCCCATTCAAGCACCAACTGTAAACTCGTATTTCGACTATCCGGTCGACTCGCTAGCAAATGACCCGCTTTATTCGGGATGAGGCTCACGATCACAATCCTTCGCTGTGAGGGGATGTAAGCCGCGATGAGAATCCCCTTATTGAGTACTTTCGTTAAATAATGATCCCTCGACTCCACAAACACATAGGGAGAAACGAGGGTGATATCGAGTAGCCAGTCGATTTGGGAGGAGAACAATGTCCATTGGTTATCATCGGTTAGGACGAACTGGTACAACATGTTTTTTAAGAGACCTCGGGTCTCGACATTGTCTAAATCACATAGACTGCCATTGAATGCCGGGACCATCACCCATTTGTTTCTGTCGTTGAGGACGAGATTGTACTGGGTGTTTTTCCTGAGACCTCCGGTGATGACATCGTCTAAATCTCCTAGGTTACCACCACCACCACCGCGGACTTCCGCTCGCCTGTAAGTGTTGTTTCTTAATTCTAAACCATATATTTTGCCTTCTTCCCCAGGGTTGTCGAAGCCGCGCGTGTCCCCGAGGTCAGAGATCAGTGTGGTAGGGCATTTTCTTACTCGCATGATCGTTCCGGGACCGGAAACTTGAGTCATGATTGTTTGATGTGCAATGTGGCACTGAAATAGCCGATATGCATGGGTTTATGTCTTATATCTAAAACGGATAGTTTGAGTTCCGTGATGTTGCCCTGCATTAACTTTCTGTACTGTAAGGTCGAAAACGATTCTGTTCTGACGTCGTTGCAGTTTTCCGTTTTCACTGGCACGGATCTCAGCAGTGTAAAAAGGGCATTCGCCTTGAATGTTGTCCGTCGTGCTTACCCAATCAAGATGAACAAACACCTCGTGAAAGACCATGAGGCTCGGTAATTTCGAACCCGTGACGGTGTCTCGGGGTTGTACGCTGTTTGACGGAAAACCGAGCGTTCTCGCCAAGGGCCTACCGAATCGGATGGGTTTTTCCCCATTCGTGAACAACGTTGACTGATGTTCGCCCATTGTGGGTAGTAGGTGAGATCACAGAGAGCGACTTCGATGTCCCCCAACGTGTTATCGATCGTGTGCAGCAGTAAAACGGGGTCGCCGTTCGTGATTCCCGGGAGCGTGATGTACATGTTACACATATACGGGACACTGCGGTATGCTTTCAATATGGCTACACCCAAGTACAAGCCGGGAGTGATTTATCCTAAAGGCGATATTTTTAAGTGCTACCGATCTCACGCACATAAAGATCGTGGTGGATGCGAAGGAGGGTTTCCACTTTCAAGCTCGATTTATCAATGTATTTGAAAAGTATAGGCTTTCAGTCACGAACGTCAAGGCAGTACACGCATGGTTTCACAACCTGATGCAGTTCTGGCAGAGTCAATTCAATTTCGCCGTGTGGTGCGTGACGATGGGATGTGGCGTGACCTTGAACGACAAGCGTCGGGATGTGCTGAGTCGGTCCGTGTTTATTTTCCACGTGTATTACCAGATCAGACGCATCCTGGACAAGGCGTAGGTTGCGTCGAACAATCCGTACGATCGGCGGGCTTATGAACGGATTTTACGGTGAAATCGAAATCGATCCGAACACGGATTTGCATATACCGGGTACGAACCACGGGTTGGGTATTTCCTACAATGATGGACTTCCCGTGATAGAAGCCAGCACTGCTTTGTTAAAACAAAATATCCTACTAACACCAGCCTATGTTCAGGAAAGTAATGAATGGAGAGATGATCGCATGAACATTGCAGGTCAAGGTAGGATTCCTTTCACCATCCAAAAAAGTCGAGCAGCTCCGATACGTTGAAGACGATTGGAAAACATATATGCTGGGCACGTCGAAAGGGTTCTCTCACGCGGGTACCGTACGGTTGAACGATTCGATTGGCATCATGGGTCAAGGGACGTACTAAGACACGCAGAAACAGACCATCGCCAGACCGGTGGATTTACTGAGTGTCATCCGGCGTTACCAGGACACATTGGAATACGCCCTGTTGAAAGTCGACTATGTGTTTCGTGTGGGACTGTACAAGGCTCGCGACATGCGACTGAGGATCCACAAAGTGGTGGGCTACAACAACGAAATCGTCATCACGACCGCCGATCAGAAACTGGGCGTCAACCCCGATGTCAACGTGATTCACGTCCCATCGCCCACACATACCGGTGAAAGGGGGATCGTGACGCCGCCACCAGCACCAGAGCCCAGCGTTCAACCATCACCACCATGCCTATCACCACGCGAGAAGGTCGACCATCAGCAACACCTCGATCATACAATGGTGCTCGCCGTCTCATTTGGATAAAAGTTCTGGCCGAGCCACGCGACCGTTTTCTACAACAAAGCCAGCAACCAGGACACGATGCTGCCAAAGATGCCGGGTAGGGCTTCCGCGGCTTTGCCGGCCAGTCTCGCCAGGGCTTCCCCAAGCTATTTCAACTGTTTTTTTATCCAGTCTCTGACGTTGCCACCTGTTTTGGGTGGTGGTGGTGCTGGTGTCGTACCCCCGCCGCCCGTCAGCGCTAAGACCAGGGTCGATACAATGAAACCCAAGCTGTCAGAACACTGGCGATGATGATCCCTTGTTCCCGGAACAACTTTCGTTGTGGTACGTCTCTCAAATCATCTTGACCGACTGCACCTGCCAAGGCATCGAGCTCGGCTTTCGCTTGTCGTAAAGCCTCGAGTCAACGAAAAGTATTGGAACCCCGAGATCACGAAAGTCGAGGTGACCGTTGAGGGCGTGCCGAACCAGCTGTTCAGCCAAGGCATGCGCGCTTACCATCAGGGGGACGAGATCCAAAAGTAACTGGCGATCAATCGCCCGCCAGAAATCAACGCGATCATCAAGGACCTTGGTCTCGCCACCGTGTCGGTAGGAGAGTACCTGACGACCAAGTATGCGCTGTGGCTGGACATGCGATCCAAAGACGACGATCGATTGCATGGCAGCGGGCATCGCATCGAGAACGGCAGCGAGGGGATCACCATCCAAATCACCAAGAAGGCTCAAACAGCCGGTAAATTAAACCTTTTTTTGTACGTGATCATGGATGCGCAACTTAATATAGACAATGGAAGATTTGTGCAGGCCATCTATTGATTTGCCTTGCGATTCGCATTGCGCCATCGTGTGCGGTCAAACGGGATGCGGGAAGATCATCTTTGTCTTGGATATGCTGGAAGGGTACTATCGGAAAGTGTTCGATCATATCGTGATTCTTTGCCCTACGATATGCGTCAATAAAACGTACACGGAGAGCGTGGCTGATGAACGACTCGGAGGTGTATAAAATCGACCCGGGAGTACATTTACAGGACTGGTTGCGAGCCTTTCACGAGAATTGACGCTGTTTATCCTAGACGATTGCAGCGCGAATAAAGAGATCACCAAAAAGAGAGACATGAAACACAGTGTTTGGGTCCTCACGAAAAACCTCACTGTCGGCCCTGGATACCAAACGATGGATTGCGAAGATGGCATCCACACTTATAGCTATGGGTACCAACAGTTGACCTCGACGCATTGGGAGTTTCCGAGACTCCTAATAAAGGAAACTCCACTCGATGCGTCGAGACAATTGAATGAACGATAGCGTGTATACATCATGTAGAAGGTTTACTACAGCCCTCGGGGTTACTGGAAAGGTGTGAGCGCCATTCCGAAGCTTGCCAAAGCCGCTCGCGTCTCCGAGGATACCGCAAAAAGCCTGGCTTAAAAAACAAGCCATGTGGCAAGTGTACCTGCCGGCTCCCCGATCCATCTCGAGAAGAAAGTTTGAAATTTCCATACCCAATCATACCCATCAAGCCGACCTCCTGTTTCTCCCGGGGAGCCGTGTCGCAGCTGTTATCAAAGCATGTAAAGTCCAGGTGAGATGAGGTGTGACTGGAGCTCACCGAAGCCAAGCGATCGTTGTGTCGGCTATCAACGAAGTCACTCGATTCCTCGATAAAAGACCCGTCGAAGCCATTCGAATGAAATCCGTGACGACCGAATCGACTGCGCCATCTCGTCACGGCCAAGAGGAAAAAACTACCGGACAGGGTCGTCATGAGGTATCTGTACCAGCCCGGTGAACTCGAAGGAGGGGGATAAACGTCGGCCACAGACCCCGTATGGTCCATGAAAACGTACCGGGTCGACCGAGTGGACATCAAAGATGACGAACCGAATTTGTATTACTTGCAAGACGGACCAGGTAGGGGATTCGACCGAGAGGAATTGATGATCGTCCCTCATGACACGGTATTGCCCCCTTCTTATTAAAGACTCGTCTTATGTATCTCATTATCATGTGGAGATTGATCGAGAAACGGTTGTTCAGACACGTCGGGGTGGACGTCAGTGGCCTCGATATTTACGCTTCCCTGCGTCGAGTCATAAGTCGAGGTAAATTCACCAGCCTGTACGATAGTTTAGGTCTCCTGGCCACCGAACGGTTACAACGTCTCATGGATACGTTAATCGATTATAGCCTGACAACCAGGGAACACACCGCCTCGTACTCAACCTACTCCGTAGCTTACTTGGACGAGTTCATGGCAGACCCACTCCATAAAGTCGTCGCGGAATATTATGGCTAAATTTAATCCAGTCCAAACTCTGTTTGCTTAACAAGCTTATGTAACCCGATTTTGAAATAATTGATTGTGGCTTCTAAAAAATTGTTTTCAGCTATAGACTGGTTCCCTTGAAACTTTTAACAGTGACCGGTTTTAAAACTGATTTCAAACATCCTTTTCGCTACAACCAGCCAGCAACCCTAATACGGCTGTGTGCCTTGCTTTGTATTCAATACCCGCGTGACAGGCCACAGCCAGAGAAATACTCTGACGTCAGGTCTAGACGGCGTTGCTAAGCTCGGCCGCCATCTTTGTGTGGCTTAGCAACGACGGCCATCTTTGTTTGGCTTAGCAACGACGGGTCTGGCAGGCCCAGCGTTACTAGGATGGGCGACCATCTTGTTTCACTTAGAAACGACGGTGTTTGTTTCACTTGCAAACGTTTCCGCCGATATCCCGTTTCGAACTCGCGTTAATGGTTTACGAGTTGTACGCTCTACCACCGGACCACCGGGACTCACGCTCAGTCAATATTCGGAACTTTGGGTCTAGGCTGGCGGCACATCGAGGATGCCTCTCGATAGACCATCGCCGTTTTTAAGGGGGACTGGGGAACTTATTTCATAAAAATAAGCCTCTAAGCCGCATGTGCGGCAAACCGCCCCTCTACTACTAGTCTTCCACGTGACATTTATTACGTCAAACGTCTTTTGTTAATATGATGGGTGTGTGGAATCACTGAGAACACCGGGTGCTCGCTAAAAGATAATTTACTATAATGTATAGGCGCAAACACTTCTTTAGTAATTGAATCACCTTAATCGATAAAAGCTGTGCAGCGGAAATAACATATATGCCGTTTTATGCATCAATTCAGGTAACTTGAATATAACCTGAAGCTGCTTTTGATTCCTTTTTGCTTGTGACTACATCAGTACGCATAATTCTTTTCATGATAATTCATCTTCCGTCTAAACTATAATTCATGATCAGGACTAGCATAATCAACGTAATGGGAATACTTGCTCATATTGCCCAATCGAAAACATGTCAGTATCTCAATTGTGTGACTGTTGAATAATGTAGCCAAGCACATAGCCTGAACTAATCCGATAATATTGAGATCAGATTGTATTAATCGATTCATCATTAAATATACTCGTGTAAATATTATATTATAATCGTCGTGGTATGTGGTACAAAAGTACCCTACAGGGAAAAGATACCCTCATAAATAACTTATCTTATTTCTTCCATACCCCCTTGCAGATGTGGTCTAAGTGGATTACTTCACACGGCCCTTGCCGGCTGTCAGGTGTTTCGAGCACAACGTGATACAATATTCACATTTAGGGCTTTTAGTAAATTAAACTTAGAATATTACAATGAATGTTTTGTTAGAGCGTGCACTGAAAACACGTGTGCCACTCAACTTCTGTCAATGACATTTCTTAGGATTACACTGTGTTGCAGCGATCCGCAGATATGCATGTAAAACATGCCTGGTACCTGACCTTGGAAGAAGAATACGCAGTATCGCGCTTGGCTAAAAAAATCAGAAGAATGTTTTTCCACTGACGAGTCTGAGCATCTGCTTCTCTTTGGAACAATCTGCCTCTCACCATCAAAGAGTCTTTAACACTAAGTAGATGTCAGTCAAAACTAAACACATTCTTGTTTTCGAAGAATACCATGTCGTTGTCCAGGTTAAAATACATACTTTGGTCAAGTGGAATCACATCCCATGCGCTACCCACGACTAAGTGCCATGATGTAGTCACTTATAAATAGATGCCTTAGTTTGATGTAGAAGTTGAAGTTGAAGTGATGACCAATAACGCAAGCCAACAAATACGATAAATGCATTGGTTATGTTAATTTCATTTTAATCAATTTATCCTTGTTTCAATGGGTCCAGAAATTTGGACTTAAACTGAGTTAACCAGGGATGTTTGGGAAGAATATCGTCAAACGTAACGCAATCACAAGATTTGATAATGTAACCGTGTAGTACTTTCTTATAATGATTGGTTTGTGCATATCTGTTTTGTTTTATTCGCTTGGCTAAGATGTTTAAAGTTACATTGATATATATCGATAACTTTCTATAGCTTTCAAACAGGCTGTTCCCTTCCAACGAGTTAATCGAACAATGAATGAATGAGATCAGTGATACTGCTTCCCGTGTTTCATATTTAGATCTATGTATGAAGACAAAGAGCGACGAAACACTCTCCTAAAGTTTGAATGACAACAGGGATGACTTCAACTTTCCAATAACGTTTTCCATTTTGGGGAATAATATTCCTGCAGCTCCAATCCAATATTTGGTGTTTATATTTCAGAATGTTCGAGATACACTCGAGAACTCTCGTTCTACTGCCATTTCAAAAGTGCCTATATGATTCTTGTTCAGGATTTGTTTAATCAGGTCACAACATCCAAGGCCTCCATAAACCTGTGAAATATGTGGAGCCATCTCCATATATGAAGCATCAGTGACCAAATTGGTATCCGATGAAATTCTCTAATATGACTTGTACGACACGTTCCCTTGCTTTTCCAGGTGAACACTTGATTTGTCCCTGCATGTGTTGGTGATTGGTTCCACTGGTGGGGCAGGAATTGCTGACCTATTTACGAACACCTGGTGTCATCATTGTTAGAAAGTTATATCGAAACATATGAACAAGTGTAGTTGGAATCGTACACTCGATTTTGCCTTTTAGAATTTTCTTATGAAAATGGAAGGGTCTTTGTCCCCTGCATTCCTATGTTTCAATCTGGGTTCATGATTCAATCTCATTGACCTAATAATACTGTTAAATGCTTCAGGCTTATGGAGCTTGGTCAACAACGCGGGAGTGGTCAGCTTCGGGGACGTGGAGCTTACTACTATGGACATATTTCAGAAAGTGGTGGACGTCAACCTCCTCGGTGTAACAAGGGTCACGAAGACCTTTCTGCCCCTTGTTAGATATGCTAAAGGTGATGCTGAATGAGTGACATAGTGAGTTTGATTAACTGCCGCTTTGAAAAATAGTTCAGTTCCGTCGCGGCGTGTGAGCTTGTCGATGGAAAGTCTCAGTGTTTCTTCACTGAAAGGATGATAGAGTGTTGACGCACCTAGTATAAACAAACACAAATGTGAATCTTTACGAAAATGTAAAGCATATCGTCTTTATCAAAGCTATATATACTTTGCCAAAACAGAAGAGGGGACACCTGCACTTTACGGGTACCTAACCTAACCTAACCTTACCTAACCTAACCTAACCTAACCCTCGCTAGAACATACAAAAAATGGCGTAAACTACCGGGGACCCATAAAAAGCAGTCTACCCGCCTGCATTTTACGGGTGCCCTAACCCTAACCCTAACCTTAACCCCAACCTAACTCTAACCCTCGCTAGAATTAACAAAAAAGGGCGTAAACTTCCGTAATCATCAAGATATGCTTCTGATCTATATGGACATGATATGATCATATCTGCTCGGAAGTTGACGATCAGATCTAATGGGCTGTAATGGTTGCTATGATGGGATGGTGGCGCAGTAGGTCGTTAAAGAGGTGGTTGTCAAATTCGAAGTCATCAGCAGCCACGTCACTAATAACTACTGAAGCCATCTCTGTTGACAAAACATGCACGTAAACGTTCAGCCCGTTTCAAACGCCGCATGGTCGAAGCCGTAACATACTTTATGATAAAAGTTCCCTGAGCATGTATATGTTCACGTCTATGTTCTTTATCTGAGTAACAACGGTCATATGCCATACCATCATTTACATGTTCTGTTCGAGGTCACGCACTTCATGGCCGTAGCTTGATGTCTTGTTCCATAAATCACCACACCACTCCTTCATTGTCTGGAACTGTTGTATGCTGTTCCTTCCTAAAAAAACGTCAAACAAAATATCCCTACCTTTTTGATCCATGCGGAAAGAACGGATATCGAGTAGCTGATATTGTTTTGTCCTGAAACTAGCATCAGTGATACGCTTTTTTACACAAATGAAAATAGGGTATCTGTTCACATTTGTAAATTGATCTCATCAAGGTACCATGTCAATAACGTTGATGTAATTTTATGTTCAGGGAGAATAGTGAACGTCACTAGTGTCAAGGGTTTGTGTGCCTATCCGTGTTTTGGGGCTTACAATATTTCCAAATATGGCGCCGAGGGACTGACGGACACATTGCGCCTCGAGATGAAACGTTTTGGAGTGAAGGTCATTGCTGTCGAACCCGGAAACTTCGGAGGTGCGACTGCGTTATGGGATGAAAGGAATGTAAGAACAATTCCACGTGATTTCAGTAAATACTGGATTGTGATTAGTAAATTAAAATCATTCAGAGGTATATCATTATGTTATACGGGTCTCTGATTTTCCGTACGCAATAATACATGGTTTACGGTAATGCACGTATTTCTTTTGCCCACCAACATGGTTCGGTTTTAGATTGAATTTAGAACTATTATGATTCCTTTATGCTACCTTTAATTTCAAAACACGGTAGGTTTATCTCCTAATGCGAGGTATTGAATATAAGGGACATAACCCTTTCTATAATCATCAGAATTGTCTTGAAGAAAACCTTTTCAAAACCTTGTGGTAGTAGATAGCTGTCTGTATGCTGCAGCAACAACGGTAAGTAAGTGAGTGAATGAGTTAAGGTTTTAAGTCACATACCACACAAAAATTACACTTTCTTCCTTTCATAATATTTTGGTATGATTTGGAATTGGTATATTTACCGCTAAGTGACGGTTTCTATGATTTATGTTTGAGTGAGTGATAGAGTATGATTTCGTGCAGGATTTTGCTAAATACAGCACTATAACTACGAGGGACACCAGAAGTAGGTTTTCATGTAGTGTACCAATGGACGTCAAGTCTTCAGTGTATTCAGACTACTAACCTAGCATAAGCCAAGGATGTTCCCACCACCCAATCCTCCCCCGGTATAAACAATAGTCTGCACTATACATATTCATCTCGAACGTAATCTTTGACACTGTGTACATACCATTTGCTCTAAACATAGTTGACATTTGTCTGCGTCTACCCGAATTTCATCAGCAGAAAATAATCTTGATTATATACGGAAACGGCTTGTATGGGTTTAAGAGGCACATTGGTGATGGAACTTGTTCCAGACTGATCAAACGTAAAGGTTGCGGTTTCAAACACATACACTGTCGGGAGATTCGGGCTGACTGTATAAAAAATTGCCTTCTCCGGCTGACCCGTTAAATCGATTTTACTTGTACCAATGTATATCCTTAAATTTGTCAGATTTAAATACATTTGTGTATTTCTGAATTCAATTCATACATTTGCTTAACAGATTTTAAGGCCAAGGTTCAAACCTATACACAGATGAGGTGTGGCCTCCTTGCCTTGTCAAAGCTGTCTTTCGATGCAAAGCAATGCAGTATTCAAGTACATTCCATGAAATATCACAAAATTGACTCACCGTTCCATGACGAAAGTAAGCCATAGTGTGGAGAAGTATGTTAGGAAGGCTCACGGTAAAATTTATGGATACAGCCTACAAAACATACATTTTGAAAATATATTTCTCTTTCTTTTAAATCCAGATTTGAATTTCCCACTGTGTCAGTCAGGTGATCAGAAGAGGTGCGTTTCTATAGAAACAGGCCTTTGAGTGGGTACAAATTTCATTCAGGGTTTCATATTTCAGGCAGGCAGTGAACATGACCCTTCCTATACCCCTGACAGCATGCTGTGAGGGGTTAGGGTTGTACACTTATTTGATGCTGATATCAATATGTTGAAGTTTTTATTTTTTAAAAAAGAGAGTAAAATTTGAAATTCCATATATGCAGATCAAATTAATCTCTTTAATCATCAAAATATGTAGTCAAAGGGTTGTTGGGCAGTTACTATAAGGCAAATGTTTATTCTAGTGGTAAATTCCAAAGTTAACCTTTGACATCGCCAGGCTCTTGCCAGGCTCCCATAGCCGTTACAATCCTGACACTCATGGGTTTTGGGGGAGGTTTAAACCCCGACCATTTAAATTTAAGAGGCTTCATCACATTTGTAATGAATCGCAAATTATTTTCATTTACGTATTTACCTATGTTCCTGAGTTCACCGACATTTGAATGTTGGCAATGCAAACTGAATGAATAAAACCCAACAGTATCTTTTATGTTCTTCTGAAGTTTTCCATTTAATATTTTTAAGTGCGTGTTCTTTAAATCATTCCGCAGGAGGTATTACTGGTTTTGTCTAACCTAAAACGCGACTGTCTCTAGGGGCCATTACAACGACATCTCTAATGAGTTGTATTGTTTTATGTTTTCAATCAATGAATACTATTAGGGACGCAGTACTAAAGTACGCCCGAAGACAGAAAATTAATTTAGAACCAAGAGCCGAAGTAGAACGTGTTTGAAAATATAGATCAATAGTGTTTTCAATTGATGAGGTGACGACAAAGACGGCCCATACATATTTCACCTTTGTAATCTTCCCCAGTTGATGCGTGGCATAGACACTTTAGTATGAAGATGAAAGTATGATGTAATTATGTTCAACTGCACTGAAAGAAAACATAACAAGACATTGAAATCCTAAACTTTGTCTTAAAATGATACAAGGATCTAACATAACATAAACCGTTAGGATTCACTTTTTGTTATAAATTGTAATTCAAATCCGAGTCCGCATCCCTAAATCCCATTCCGCATTGCAATACCACTTTTTGTAAAAAGTCAGATTATACACTGACCCGGCCTTCACATGTGCTTGCAGTGGAATACAGCATGGAAATCATAGCTGTTGTTCAACACTTTTCAAAACATATTTGCATAGCTCGGTGGCATCATGTTTGTTGGGTCGACTGTTTTTGGTGCCATACTTTGATAGTCCATTAGAATTGTAACCACAAGCACTTCAACACTCACCTGATAAAACAGAATTCTTGTTCTTACTATTGCGGCGTCATACAAATCATAAAGATAAAAAAATACTAAAGTCTCATTCTCAACAAGAGTGCTGTTCAGTTGAATTTGGTAAAGACAATTTTAACAGAAAGCGTGTGTTTTAGATCTCTTCATCACTTCAATGTTGCAATTTTCATTGTTTACAGCACGGCATGAGTACTGCCGTAGGGGGTCGAGCTGTAGATATTTACTCGTTACTAACAAGTGAGTCAATCGCAGGTGTTACCGGTAGAACATGAGATGCTTACCCTTATTTCGAACACCTGCTGTCATCAAGTGGTCATCCTTGAGTTCAGGTGGTTTGTAAATAGCTCTGTCGCCTCGAACAACCACTGTGACAGTCATGTCCAGGATTGTGTGCAGGAAGTAGGTCAAGTTCAGCCAGGTCGACGTCCAGAGAGATAGTCGGGCTTAATGTGTATTCCTGATGGGGAGCTATTTCAGATCAACTGCTGAGTAGGACTTTAACATAACCATACCCATTATATTTAAAAAGCGAAAAGTACGTTAAGACTATGTTATAGATTGAGATAGACGATATCATGTTGATTTCGAATACTTGACTTTCCAGAAATTACCTGATGTGTCCCAGAAGTACAAATATATAACAGGTTGGGATAAACTTAGGACGACAAAAACAATATTTACAGTCGAGCACCGTTGTGTCGAACTGTGATAACTCGATATCTCGGTTGTCTCGATATAACATCTCGGTCCCGGCAAATTTATCATTATTGAAGCTCTTCTAACTCGACACGGATGTCTCGATATTTCGGATATCTCGATATAATTTCATGGTCCCAACAAGCAAAAATACCCTTTTAACTCGATATTTGCAAAGAAACTCGATATTCATCAACCATATTCACCTATATTCACTTGTATTTATAAATATTCATTTTGAACTATTAGTAACTGAACTATATTAGTAATCAGTTTTGACTGTATTAGTAATCAATTTTGAACCCGGATAGTTCCAAGAGTCGTTAAATGGAAACAAAACATATATTGTGTTTTGGAAATTGAGGTAGCCTTGAATGTACGTTAAATGCGCTTTGCTTTGATAAATATAGTCAAAGAAAGATCAAACTGACCTGGGGGTAAGAATTTATGGATGTCAACTTCTTGATGGACTCGACGTTTCGAAGTATATTTTTCAGATCTTCATTCACCCGATGAAGGAGTAAGAATATACTCCGAAACGTCAAGAAGGTGACATCGAAAAAGTCTTGCTTTTATGTGTATCACTTCTAAATGCCATTCAAAACTGACCTGTTTTTTTATAGATTAGTGTATTTGTAACATCTTATAAGGGCATCAATAACCGTAGCATCTGGAATATCGGAGACAGGACAGCTTGTTATTTTTTCACGTCGGAATTCAATTCAGAGCGGGTGGAAAACACAGAAACTAATATGGACACCCTCAAGGGGATAAGACAAGTTTATAGTCACTCGGGGGTTGTAGGGTAGCCTAGTGGTCAGACTGTTCGTGCGTCTTTTTGAAGACCCGGGTTCGATTCCTCACATGGGTACAATGTGTGAAGCTCATTTCTGGTGTCCCCAGTGGTGATATTGCTGGGATATTGCTAAAAGCGGCAAAAACTTAACTCATTCACTCACTCGTACGTCATTCACAAGATGTTGTGGTACTGACATTGCAGACAGAACGGTTAAGACGGGAAATGGCCGAGATGATGTCGGCAGCTACAGACGAGGCCTTGACTGCCTACGGTGACGACTACCTCGACCAAATGCTGTCTGTGTTCAAAGAAGGCACCACCTATTCCCGTAGCAACATTGACCCCTTGCTGGATGACTTTGTAGATGCTCTAACCAATGAGCATCCAGCGTACAGATATGCCACGCATGGGGGAAGCACCTTATTGGACATAGACGTGGCGAGTATTTTAATTGTTTATTGTTTTCAGGTTTGGATTATTTTAAGATTATCACCACATCTGATGAAGCGAGTCAATGTCAATGATGTCATGTCGGGGAATAAAGTGAATTTGAAAGGGTGTAACATACTAAATACTCAGTCACATTGTTAACGTGTATTGTTGGCCTAAAACACAACCTAGAAGTGCTTGTTGGTTGCTCGGATGGTTTGCGCAGCAAGCTTAGCACTTGTAGCCAACAGGGGAAGGCGAACTTTGATTAGTATATTTACCGTATCATTTAATAGGTTTACAAATGTATGAAGCGTTAATTAATTACGAAGTTTAAGATTGTAACTGTGGTCGTATTCAATTGTTAAAGAAAGCAAAGTTTCTTCTCGGTTATTTGGATTCAATGAATGTACGTTCATTGTTGTCGAATCGTGGTCTACAAGACATTGACTATCGACACTACCCGTGTTAGTAGATAGACACCCAGTCAGTGTTTGAGAGACGAGACGATCTTTGTCAGTGATGCACTATCAGCCTTGCAGTTAATGAACAATACTGCTTATCATACTGAATTTCTCCATCACATCAACTGAGTCAAAAGAAAGTACACTCTTGGTCCTTTGGGATTATTTGCTGACCTGGTGTCCCCCGCCGTGATGTTGCTGGAATATTGCTAAAAGCGGCGTAAAACCAAACTCATTCAGTCAGTCAGTTATTTGCTGACAGCGCGCTATCCTCTCACCACTGCGTTCCTGCTGGTGCGGACTTATCGCTCCTGATGCTGATGGCGACACTGTGAGCTTCCGGATGTGTAGGTCATCTTTCTGGGTGGTTACTCTCGGTCTGTGCAGTGGACTCTCAGATACCTGGTCAGTCTGGTTGACGCGTGTCAGTCTGTTGATAGTCTGCCTTGTATTGCTGCCAATATGGCTGATGAAACACCCGACTGCGACACTCCAATGGCTCGTTCCAGCTCCGCTGCTGTTAATCATGGCATTTTGATGCGCACCTTTAACAGTTATTCCACTTACAATCTGACTAGAGTGTTTTATACTCTTGGTGCATACCATGCACGTGAAGTTGAAAAGAATCAGGATGTTTATGACATTCTACGCACAACACTGCAACACAATGTTTGTTACTTGTAAGTCACAATCAAAACACTTTCCAAAATAATTACGTTTGTCTAATTCCAGCTGTTGACAGTGTGGAAGAATTACATACCAACCACTTTCCTGGACTACCTAGTTATGAAGTACAGAGGAATCCCAGCTCGAGTAAAGGAAGGATGCTAACAACTCTCTGTTTACCATGTACCTTTCTTCTAATTCAGGAAAAACAATTGTTTCTAAGCTATTTCACCGAGGTCACAGAAGAATAGTTACGCAATATAGTCAACTCGTTGTTTGATTGGCATTCTAAAAGTTGGTGCTTCGTCAATGAAACATACAACTTTTTGGATGACAACTACTTGTTTATTGCATAGAGCTCTATGAAATAAGCAAGAAGTTGTCATCCACAAAGTTGTATGTTTCATTTTTATACTCAACTCAACTACTTAAAGATCCGAGTAAGAATTGGTCTTCAGCAACCCATGGTTGTCGTAACGGGATCGGGTGGTCAGGCCCACCTTATCCCAACTGCGTAGATCGATGCTCATAGTGATCACTGGAGTTTCTGGTCCAGACTCGATGATTTACAGACCGCCACCATATAGCTGGAATATTGCTGAGTGCGGCGTTAAACAACAAACAGACGCAACAAAACTTAAGAATCACCAATACAGTATTTGATGTTACAATAGGGCTTTTGAATCTGGAACAGAATGCAATACTTCAGCTGTTAAAGACCATATTGATGCGCATGTGTGTGAACTGTTTTAGAACTGTTTGAAAGGCATTCAAGAAGTTGTAAGCAGATGGAATGATAAATTTCGCTACCGCATGCTTGAAAACGGTATAAGTTTCTGTACCAAAACGTCATTACTGTACAAGTTCATCATCCATAAACATTTGTTATTCCCAGGAAAGTTTTTGATCAACTTACGACGACATTTTAAAGTTCTGACGAGATAATACGTAATTGCCTATGAATCAAACGAGGAGCGGTGGGGTATCCTAATGGTTAAAGCGTCCGCTCGTAACGCTGAAGACCCCCGTTCGAACTCTATCAAACTGTTGTTATCTACAAAACAGGGTGTGATGTAACAAAATGCTATTTATATAAATAATATTTTAAATCCTGCAAACCACTAGACAAAGACTGTAGAAGGTCTTCACCAGTGCACCATTCACTTATCAATATAACACGTGGTGGGTAACTAAGCCAAGTAAAAACATTTGGATACCGAGGCACATTTCACATGTACAGGTCAACATTAAAACAATCAATCGTAGGAAATCGGGAACCATTCAGTGTAAATATTTGTACTTCAAACCATTAATGATAATGCAGACTGGTCGTACAAAGGCCAATTGTTTTTTTCTATAATACAAAAACAATGATTATATCGAAATGAATGGTTGCATATGGTACTTGTTGACACATGTTTCTTTAGTCGTGCCTCGAGTAGTGATGATGTTTATACGTTTGGAAATCGATAATCTTAAAAGTATTGTCGCATTGATGTGCTTATATATACAGATCATCAAATACTTTCTAAACTGATACTATTATTGTATGAGGTGTGGGTCTTCCCTCGATAAATATGCAACGTATGTCTCTGTACAACGTATGTCTCTGTACAACGTGTGTCTCTGTACAACGTATGTCTCTGTACAACGTATGCCTCTGTACAACGTATGCCTCTGTACAACGTATGTCTCTGTACAACGTGTGTCTCTGTACAACGTATGTCTGTACAACGTATGCCTCTGTACAACGTATGCCTCTGTACAACGTATGCCTCTGTACAACGTATGTCTCTGTACAACGTATGCCTCTGTACAACGTATGCCTCTGTACAACGTGTGTCTCTGTACAACGTATGTCTCTGTACAACGTGTGTCTCTGTACAACGTATGTCTCTGTACAACGTATGCCTCTGTACAACGTATGCCTCTGTACAACGTATGCCTCTGTACAACGTGTGTCTCTGTACAACGTGTATCTCTGTACAACGTGTGATGTTTGAAACGTCCACGTTGCAACAGAACAAGAACCCTGTCGAGGTATACCCCCCCCAACCTCCTTCGTTAACAACTAGACTTTCAATACACCTTGTTTCGAAGGAGCCTCAGGGAAAATGATAGTTTTTGCTCGTACTAATTATAAATAGAAATAGTGGCATTGTAGCTTACCACATGTTGTTAACAGTTTCATGTAAACGAGGCCAGACGTTCATGAACGTTGACGTCGCCAGTAGTATTTAATGCTTTTTTTCTGGATAAGTACACAACTCATTAACAATTCGATGACATGAAAGGGAGATAAATACTTGCCAGTGTTTCAGAAGAGGAGATCTCCTTTAAGAGCATTTAGAATGTTGGTCTAAACGCTCTAATATCAATAAAGATTACTTGCACTTTAAACGCACCATAGATGGCTATCGTGGGTTGTAAGGCTGAATCGACCGTCTGGGAAACAGGTCTCTTTCATTATCAGTGGCAACAAAACTTCAACTTATCATATCAGTGCTTTGTTCGAAAACTGATCATTACTGTTTGAGGACGGCATTTGGAAAGAACAGAACAGGAAGGATAAACAAAGACGTGGTTTTTAAACACGGAACATTTAGTTGCCAAAACATACATGTAATAAGCAAACATGACTTTTTTTATAACAATGTTAGGTGTCGATTTTCAAATCGAAACAAACCCAGACATTCAACAAGAATGTAATCGCAAAACATTTCAGTGGGGAGCCTGTAAACAACTTAGAAATGATATACAATTACCAATTGTACTAGAAAGTTAACTAGATGAATAGATAGCGATTACAGCAAACCAGATATAATGACAGAAACACTAGTGGTAGTATAAACAGCAGTAATACAATCAGGGATAACCTACACATGGTCAACAATGGTCGAGCTTCTAAAACAGACCTTGGCTTGATATCTTGGGTGAAAAGACTATAAAGCGCGATGTATAATGTGAGACGATACAGACGTACTACTGGTCAACAATGGTCGAGCTTCTAAAACAGACCTTGGCTTAATATCTTGGGTGAAAAGACTATAAAGCGCGATTTATAATGTGAGACGATACAGACGTACTACTGGTCAACAATGGTCGAGCTTCTACAACAGACCTTGGCTTGATATCTTGGGTGAAAAGACTATAAAGCGCGATTTATAATGTGAGACGATACAGACGTACTACTGGTCAACAATGGTCGAGCTTCTAAAACAGACCTTGGCTTGATATCTTGGGTGAAAAGACTATAAAGCGCGATGTAAAATGCGAGACGATACAGACGTACTACTGGTCAACAATGGTCGAGCTTCTACAACAGACCTTGGCTTGATATCTTGGGTGAAAAGACTATAAAGCGCGATTTATAATGTGAGACGATACAGACGTACTACTGGTCAACAATGGTCGAGCTTCTAAAACAGACCTTGGCTTGATATCTTAGGGTGAAACGACTATAAAGCGCGATTTATAATGTGAGACGATACAGACGTACTACTGGTCAACAATGGTCGAGCTTCTACAACAGACCTTGGCTTGATACCTTATGTGAAAAGACTATAAAGCGCGATGTAAAATGCGAGACGATACAGACGTACTACTGTCTTCAAATCATTCCAGAAGTGTTCACACTATGCTGAAAAATTGACACTTGACCGCACAACTTCCGCACAGTTGCTTTCGTCAATTTGTAATACATTCCTGTCAACTGGCTATTGTCAAAATACAGCTTTATCAACTTCCACTGAATCTAAACCGGAAGAATGTAATAGAAATAAGTCCTTGTTCAACAAGACATTACACTCCGTAATGAAACAAGCTATGGCAGCTGACTTTAAGGCAGTTGAACTAAAACCATTTCATACTTATATACAGAGCTGTTAATACGTGTGTGCTTGCGTGCGTGTGTGTGTGTGTCTGTCTGTGTGTATTGATTTTACAAATAAAAGACAGCATACTAACCCATTGTCATCCACGTCTTACACAGACGATCCGCCCATTTTATCATACAACCAGTTGAATAATATATAAGTCTTAGTTGATGATTAGAATTGTTTTTAACACACGGCATGAAATGCATTATATCACCACGACTGCGATCAATGCCAGTAGTTAGATAGAAGAATCACCTCAAGATTGGACTAGATGTGATCGATTATAACTCATCAGCGACAAAGAACCCTTTGATGGCTAAACAGACCTATTTACCTCAAGAGCTCTTTCTATGCGGTAAATCAATTGAAGCTCACATGACAAGAAGATGCAGTCTAGCGAGTCGGTAAGAGGTTATCAGCCGCCACATGTGATAGTAGAATTTAAAGTTGGTTAAAGTTGACAAAATGAATTCAAGACTTGACGTACTGGGAATATTGTCTGTGTTACCCTTTCTGGATCCGTGTCACGGCCTGGGATTCTGCTATAATAAGACAATTTCAGCGGGTACTGTAGATCTGCGGCCTATCAACTATAAAGTCAAAAACTTCATGTCTTTAAACCTGGTTGACTGTGCCAAGGAATGTGCCTATGAAGAGACTTGTATGTCGTTCTCTGTTGACACAAACACAGGATTGTGTATCCTCAGCTCTCGTCCCCTGAGTGGTTTAAACACTCTGGATATGGATGGTTGGGCCGGTTTTGACTTCACCGGTGAGTATTCTTGTTTTTGGCTCTGATGACTCTTCACTATAAAAAAAGTGTGTGTCAGTTAATAGTTTAAATTCTTAAATTCGACTTAATCCTTTTCATAATCATACGAATCTTTGCTCAAAGCATAATCTATTACTATTTCGACCATATCATGAGTTTAACATCATGTCTATCATCAATTATTAGCCTAAATATACACGCAAGAACGGTGCAAGTTGAAATAGGGAACTGCATTGGAGTTTTTGCCACTTATACATCCTCAATGTGTTTACCATATGCCTGTTCCATTGATAAACTGAAAAAGTCTTAGAAAGACTTTTAAAAGTGGTACGTTATGGATGTCAACTTCTGTGTCGCCACCTGCAGGTGATCTGGTATTTATCCTCTGGGCTTCGGTCCTGAGCTGTTGATGTGCAGAAGGGCCGTGATTTTAGTTTTGCCGCTTGAAAAGGTGACATCTGTGTTGATTTTGTTCTTCACGGAGGGAAATCTGAAGGCTAACAGGGTATAGGCTGGGGATAGTGATTCTGAAGGGCAATGGAACAGGTTTGTGTCTTGGCTTGGAAGTCTTGTTGTTTTTAGACGAAGTGAAAGATTACCATTGAGTGAAGTAAGTTTTTTATAGGGTCCAAATCGCAGCTGAGGGCATCAAGATGCCAAATTACTTTGATACATCGGGTGATGGTGGCGATGATGGCTTGTTTTATCTGCGTGAGACAGCAGGGAGTGTTATAGATGTACTGGACTGTGTGAATCGGGGGTAAATATTAAACATTACGCAAATCAGAGTTCATTCAATTAGTGCATAAAGAGTCACATAATGAGACAATGGCCAGGGGACATCAATAGAGAGTGTGACCACCCTGGGCATCTATAACGGTTCCCAATTGAGCAGATCGATGCTCATGCTGTTGATCACTGGATTGTCTGGTCCAGACACGATTATTTACAGACCGCCGCCATATAGCTGGAATATTGCTGAGTGCGGCGTACAACTAAACTCACTCACTCACCCCATACACGCCAACACACTGATTGACGTCGTTAGTCGGATGATGACGTCAGCAGGAATCCTGTTCTATTAGTCCAAGAGAGTCTGTTCACGTTTCTGTCCTTTCGCTGGAGCTGGTACACGCTGACGATAAAGATGATCCCAGAGATTTGGTTTATGTCTGGAGAATGCCCTGGCCAAGGAAATACGTTGACGTTAACGTTGTGCAGGTATTCTCGAACAATTCTGGCGGCGTGAGGCCTTGCGATTTCGTGCTGCACATTGACTCCTATTGGTAGTTGTCGAATAAAGGTCTCAACACTTCATCCCCGTACCGCTGAACATTCAGATTTTCCTCAGATGATAACCAGTGTTCTCTGGCCACAAATGGCCGCTTCTTCCATCGAACGGTCGGTCTCCTCTACCTCGAAAAACTCGAACTCTGCCATCGTTTCTGAACCGACTGAACTGACTTTCATCTGTAAAGAGCACTCTCTACCGGTAACGTCGCTGCCCTCGACGTACTGTTCGTGCCCATTGCAGTCAGCGTTGACGGTGTAGACGGGTCAAGGCCATTCCATGGTAGGGGCGGGAGTCTCGTATACCAGCCATACCAAATCGTCAAAGGACTGTTTGTCTGCTGATGGCGTGTCCTAGTGCTGTCGCCGTCGCTGCCGTTGCCGTGACGAATCTGTTTCGGACGTGGATCTGCCGAATATAGCGGTCTTCGGCCGGTGGCCAATCTTTGGCGGTCTTGGGCTGTTTGCTGGTAGCGATGGTGGTCTGGCTGCAGATGAAGGCTCTTGCCAGCTGACCTTGTGAACATGTCTTGTTGCGCTTGCTTAAGTCTTGGCATATTCATGGTGGCTTTTCAGTTATTGCATGAAGGCTCTGTCCAACATTGGTATTTATGCCACAATCAAACACGAGCATTTGGACCATTGTCCCACAATTACTTTTTTCACGTTTTGAAATTTTGGGCCTGCTGCATTGTTATCGAGACCATGTTGCGTTTTGGCGAATGTTTTCTGCATGGGTTCAAACCTGTACCAGCGTGTTCATATTTTGTTTTACAGTTAACTTTCTTTTGCCCGGAACTCGTAAAGATCCGGGTTAGAATTTGTCTTCTATCAATGCTTGCCGTAAGAGGCGACTAACGGGATCCGTTGGTCAGACTCGCTGACTTAGTTGACACATGTCATCGTATCCCTTCTGCGTAGATCGATGTTCATGCTGTTGATCATTGGCTTTTCCGACCGCCGCCATATAGCCGGAATATTGCTGAGTGCAGCAATGTTTGTATCATGAAACCAGAAATCGGCGATATCTATCTGACAAATTTTCAATAAATGAAAGTCCCCATTTTTCATCATCTGAAAGAATTTACAGACTAATATAGCTGAAACAGCTACATTAGTCTTTTCAGACAACATTATTATGCTGATAATCTTTTATTAGCCATGGATAGCATATGATTGGTCGTTAGTAGCACCCACCAGTCAATAACACACCAGTAGAATTCATAAACTGCATCGAATGTCATTTGTTCTTGCTGGTGTATGATACTTGTAACCACATGTACCATAAAACCTATAAAACCTTTACTGAGGTCCTACATGTTGCATCACTGGTCAAACAACGTTTGAACACAATCGTAAATCGGGTGCTCGACGTTGATGTTTCTTAGACCGGAATAACATTTGTTGAATCGTACGTTTACCATCGTGATAACTCACTATTGCTAATACGATTCCGACAAGACTATGATATATTTGCAGATGGAACTCGGACTCCTGCGCCGGCTGCGCAACCTACAGAACTGTGGATAGATTCCGTCACGGGAGCGTCGTCAGAGTATGATGTTGCGTAAGTCTACTGATACACGTTCCTTTTAGCCAAGTAAAAGGGTAACGAATACTCATGAACGTTTCTATAACAACCACAACATTCAGTCACACAGACGTTTATCAAACAATAGAACATGGAGGATTCAACCCTTTTACTTGGTTGATACAGGTAAAGGCATTGGAACAATAAGTACGTTGAATTTCATAACTGAGCAAAATCACCGATGATACAGACATGTATACTATTAAAAAAAAGAAACGCACAACCCAGAAATCTGTTGCGAATATGTTCTATTTTCAAACATGTATAACTCGTCCACAAATAGACTTCAGTACATGACTTTTTGCATCGGTTTAGAAGAAGGAAATATCTATACAACCAAGTGGATAATTGTGGATAATTATAGATAACGGAGACGTTGAGCGCGATGGTGATGACGTAGTGCGGTCCCGACGTTCTCTTCCTGGCTCTCAGTCCAATCTCTCTCAACCTGTTCCGTACAGTTTGAGCGGATATCCTCCGAAGTCCAGGCACCCTGGCTGCTGTGCTCTCACCCGTGGCACGATCACGCAAATGTAGTACCCGGATGTACCGATCTTGGGCTGCAGTGGTGACTCGAGGTCTGCCTGTACGGGGACGGTCATTTGTTATGCCTGTTTGGTTGTAACGCTCTGTAAGCCGTGATATCGTGCTCAGACTAACATTCAGATGCCTGGTAACAGAAAATGGGTAATCTCCAGCGTGCATTCTTTCAATGGCGATGTTTGGTGTCGCAGCGTCAAGACGTGGCGTCGTGATTTGACCTTGAAACTCCTTCAAAACGAATGCCGATTTCCGAAAGTAATCTGGATTTTATAGCCAGACAGTGCATGCTCTTTGCTGCACAATTTCAACTTGAAGGTGATTTCTGTTGTGTTGTGGGGATGCCTTGTTAATCCTTGTAAGAAATCTCATCAAAATTAAACTTTTTAGGTAAAGTCGATTTTTTGCTTGTGCAGTTGTGTAAAATCATGTTATCACCAATTTTGTTACATATTTTGACGATTGTTTGAACACAATAGGTAATTAATAGATTTAAAAAATACAAAATGCCCATGCGTTTCTTGTTTTGAATAGTATATATATTATTCCACTTGATATGTGTTGTTTTAAGGTGATTTCTTACTTAAAACGCAAAGGTAAAGGTTAGGTGAGGTAAATGGGATTTTGTTAACCAAAGAAAGTGGAATTTAAACGCCACTGTCATTGTAAGCAAGTGCAAGGATAGTTGACTGTCATGTGGCAAACTCTGGTACATAGTCAACTCATGTATTTATCACAAGACAAGCAGTTGTCGGACGGGAAGGATCTCAACAGCTGAACTAAAACAATCATGATCTCATGAATATTACCGGTCAATATTACCGTTACCGGAAAGTCAGACAAAGTTGGTACATCAGATGATACCATACTCGCAGCATACCTCCCCCCATGTGTATCTTTGCCCGAGTCGATCATTATTTGAGAACTTTCCAGGTTTGATCGGGTGTGGATGAATGCTCCTGTAATATTTTCGAAATAAGTCATTGTCCAAAAATGTAGCCTCGTCTAAGAATATTGAATAACGCTAGTATCATGCGATGTTGAAAGAGGATTACATGCAGAATTATTCTTGCTTAGTCTTGGGGGTATGATATTACTGAGTTCAAGTTTGTGTTTCTAACTTGAATTGATTAACTTATTTGTCTTATATATTCTTGGACAGCATTTACTTAAGCTTTGATTTATTAACCCGCGTCTGGACAAAAGATCGATAGTATCTTTGGACAGTACGCTCTTTCTTTATAATGGATCCTTATACTGAACCGAAATCGACATTTTCTCTGATGTTGTACATAATTTCCACCAGATACAAAACATTCACGAGTGTTACTTAGTTCGCTAGAATAGGCGAAGGATTTGCTTTGTATGTTGGAATGATCTACATGCAATTATTTTGTAAGAAATGGGTTGTTATTGTATGCTTTGTATGGTGGAACAATAATAAGTTTGTCTTTCAATTCTCTGACTGAATTATGTGTCCAGAAATGTCTTGGTATGGCAGAGTTTATCAGTATTGTCAATAATCTGGACTAATTCACTCACAAATACATTCAAACAGTTCGTGCCCTCGTTTTATTGCACTTCAATAGCATTCATTGTGAATTTGAAATTATAGCCCCAATACATATTGCCTTGTCTGTGTTTTGGGGTCACTCAGAAATAGGCATCAATCTCGGCCATACTGCATATTATCGAGAGATCGGTATTGATTGCTATGTTTGCCATCGAATGTATTTTGCTACAAACGTTGCAGGATGTTGATGTACCTGAACCTTTTGAATGCTGTAGTGTTGGAAAAAGTGTATGATAAAGGTATGATGATCTCCACTTTAAAAACAAGATGGGGTGGTTCTGGAGATATTTATGCCTGATTTTATTGCTAAAATATTCACACCCCAGCCCTGGTTTGTAAATTTCAAATCTTTAAACACATTGACTCTTTTGTCAGTTGAATCATCACCGTTTTCTTTTGGCAGCGTTGAACAAAATTCAACACTTTAATTGTAGAGACTTGGAATTTCCTTAGACAAAAGGGGAAATAGCTTTGTGTAGAATTCATGGACGGTTTTATAAATGGCTAATATGACATCGAATTTAATGCGAACATTATATGATTTGCTGCCCTTACTGTGTCGATGAAGACACGGAAGATGGCGAAACCACACGCTAGTTTGTGAAGTCCCAGCACTGGACAGTACCAACATATCACATCCACAGTTCGCAGCCTTGACTTAAAACTGGGTATACTCGGTTGCAATCACTGAAGAGCATTTGATACTATAACTGGAGTACGATCCGACTCTCTATTTGTTCACATAATATCATCTCACGTGATCTATTTATCCTTTAAGCCAAACTTACCCGTGAAGGTCCGGGTTAGAATTGATCTTAGGTAACCCATGCTTGTCGTCAGAGGCGTCTAACGGGAATGGTGGTAAGGCTCGCTGGCTTGGTTGACACATGTCATCGGTTCCTACTTGCGCAGATCGATGTTCATGCTGTTTATCACTGGATTGTCTGGTCCAGACACGATTATTTACAGACCGCCGCCATATAGCTAGAATATTGCTTAGTGCGGCATAAAACTAAATTCACTCACTCTTTTTAAGCCAGACTACGCGATATTTGCATCACCAAATATCACAGACGAGACGAGACATTGACTCCAGTTCTTGATGATCGGTTCCTTACAAAACACATAGCATTTATTTAGAAAAGAGAAAAACATTTCTCTACTGAACCCACGATAAGAATACGTTAGATATGAAGCGCTTTTACTTCTTCACATCAGAGAAAATAACATACAACAGAAGAGAGAATGATGTCTTGCTTGCATACCTTTGAAGACTGGTAACACTATATTTGACGCTAATAAATAAACATATTGAAGAATACATCTATCCCAGCATCTGGCTTTTTTTACAAATAGCTTTAATATTTTATCCCTGTGACACTTGTCTGTGCTTATTTAACATGCAAGGACATACGGGAGAAACTGCACTTAACAGAAGTATGTTATACAACAGAATACATATCGCATTGTGTACCATAATCTGTGGATTCCTCCTTACGGAAAGTACAGACTGGAATAAACAGACTTTCTGTTCCAATACCCGGGTTCGGACCTACTTGTTCATTCCTGGTGTCTCCCGCCTTGATATTCCACAGGTGACTGCACAGATAGATATCTGTCTTTCAGCAATATTCCAACAACATCACGGCGGGCTACATTGCACCCATGTGGGGAATCGAACCCTTGTCTTCTAAACGCTTTAACCACTAGGCCAGCCAATCACCGCGAACAGGAAGAATGAAAAGCACTAGACAGATACTATGCCTTCTCGCTCTGTGCGTGTACAAAAGACGACAAGCTATGAGTATGTGTGACGTAAATCTCAAGGTTCAACTCTCGACGATACCGAGATATTCTCCAAGAGATTACCTCCAGTAAATCTTTGTAAACACCTAGGGATGTACATTGAGCAGACAGCACCATAGGACGACACACAGTATACCTAGACTCACAGTGACGTTATCCCATCATCATTTGAAGCTTCTATAGGTCAGCAAATTATTCTTAGCGGGGAATATGTCCAACAGATATTATGCAGATAGTGCTTCACTTCTAGAGATTTATTTTGCATTTAACATATTCATTGGAACCAACAATACAATTTGAACTTGAGAAACTGTGCGGAATTATTCATGTGCAAGTACACAATACTTGTATTTAAAATGGGTTGGAACTACAGTGTTCATACTTGAAGCCTTCAGTGAGTCTTCTGCCAACAGAGGCGCAAACAAACCACTAAAGAATCGGTCTCCATCATTTGTACACCAGGAGGAGATATTTTAGGTCCGCTTGGTAAGGTTGATGGGAAGTGTGTTGGTAACATAAGCGGTAAATCAGTGTCCTGTGGGTTTGGTTCATGATGTCAGCAATTGGGGTGAAGGTCACATGGCCCACCTGAGTTGTCTTCATACAACTGTTTCACTATAGCGTTTGTACATGTATTAGTTGGAGGAGATTTTAGGTGACACACTAATCAAGTTGGAAAGGGAATACCCCTTAGAGATATCCAATCTTCCAAGTGTTAACATTTTCAACCATACGCTCGTTAGCGTCATATATCCCTTGCAAGAAATATACATTAATAACTACAAGTAATTTATTAAATATCAACACAAAAAAGGTGGTTTAGACATTCTTGGGAAAGATAGAATCACCTTGCGATAGAGGGACAGGCCATACAAATGTTTACGGCTACGAAGATGACCAGGACACAGAGGGCTGACGTAGATGTAAGCAGAAGCCAAGAATAAAGAGGAAAACGTCCTGATTGACCACATATGTAGACACGCCACAGACAAAATGTAGAAGAGTGAGTGAGTATGGATGTACACCGCTTTAAGCAATATTTCAGCAATATCATGGAGGGAACACCAGAAATGGGCTTCACACATTGTACCCATGTGGGGACTCGAACACGGGTCTTCGGCGTTACGAGCTAACGCTTTAACCACTAGGCTACCCCACCGCCCCGAATGTAGTAGAACATTCTGTCTGTGATGGACTATGCTGGCATCGCGGCGCACCTTAAAGGACTAGGGACGCTTTGTAGATGAATGACAGGTCATTGACTACTTGACACGTATTGATCTTATAAGATTATATTTTTAAAGATGTTTATGATGAGATAAACGAAGTCAATCATCACGTCCATAGATGCGTTGCTGATTGCGACATTAAACAAAATTAATTTACTCCGACTCTGTCACGGTTTTCCCTTCAAACGGTTCCCTGTAATGTAAGGAGGTAAGTCTGCCATTAGTTGAATGGAATGCTGGATATTTAACTTACACAGTTTAACTACTCCAAATGAAGCATGGTTTCTTGTTGATGAACAGTCTACTGTGGACTAAACACAAATTTATCATGTTTAAATATTCCGAAACAGCATCTGGTCAATATGTTATGTGTTCTATATATCATGTGAGCTCCGCTCAAGCGGCTATATGTCCTTGTAATACTTGTATGTAATATCATATTGTTGCATCTTTCCAGTCATGGCGCAGCTGAAATAGCTGGCCCTTCTGACGTATACCCGAATCACGGCGATCTGGCAGGTGCTTGGGCCTCGAAAAACTGGAGCAAAGGCGATGAGTGGATCAAGGTGAAAACAGTTGTCTAAAGTATCAATAACTTGGCTTGAACACAGATCACTACCACAATGAACAGAATTCACGCTGTATGGCCGCAGCCTGCCAATAACTTGTTCAGTGAGAAGAACGACACTCACCTACTGATGTTATAAGCAATATTCCATTAATGAGTGGTGAAAACAATCTATAACAATCATGAGCACGAAATGTTTTCGGTCGCTCCTTACGACAGACATAATTAAAACATGACCAAACTGAGTCAGTGCCGATGTAAAACTCATTCTAGTTTGGTGAGAAATTTGGTTGCTAGGTAACAGCAGGTAGTTTGTAATCGGACAGTATTCATGCCCTAACATCGAGTAGCGAATAACTTACATTTGTAAATTACTTTGCTGCAATTTGCTGAAATTATCAGATTTTGGTACACTTGTCTCAGGTAAGTTAAGCGAAAGGTTTCGAATTGGTCTTTGATCTTGATAAACAAATTAAAAGAAAAGGTTTTCAGGTATGTGGTGAGCGGTTTGGGCAGTTTTTGTGGCTCAGGTGTTATACATGTAAGGAATGCACACTCGGAAACAGGAACAAACTATTTTCTTGTTATATTTTGTTTGTGTTTCTGATAGAATTCTTCTTTGCTGTAGAGTACTTACGAGTGTACCGTATGAACATAAAACTTCCCCTATTAGTTGATTTTTATAATATAAAAAAAAATCAAATTTCTGTGCATCCTGTGAAAATAAAATGTAAGTTTTGAGGCGTGTTTTAGCATGTGGATTCACTTCGAACATAGGCAACTGTGGGCATGTGGCCTGTTTATTAGAACATATTTCAATCAGTTGTCTGTGTTGAAACGTAGCAACCTACAACATGAAGTCCGCCGTGTGCTGTATCCGTACACAGTACAAAATAACATCACCGGAGTCGATAAGTGAATGGTTTTGCCACTATATATAAACCAATACGCCTACTTTACTTGGGCAACACGTTCTCCTGGGGCAAATGTTCCTTTAGGGAAATCGAACCCGCGACGAGCGGATACTTTAACCATTAGGCTGCCCCTTTCTAAATTAAAAAACCCTCGTGTGTACATGTTGTAACTCATTGTGCCATTCCAGGTAAAGATTGCCCAACTGCTGTACATCCTCCAGATTGACATTTATGAGACGTACCATCCGGGAGGCACAAAACACATTCAGGCGATGCAATCCAACGGAGTCTGGGATATGGTATGGACCACTTCGCAGTTGATCAAGCTCACAACGAGCAGAATTAACTCGATTACACTGGAGGTATATATCTTTCCTAAACTGTACAACAATGTTACTCACCTATGATAATAATATATGATATTTGTATAGCGCTAATATCCAGCTCAACTTAGCTGCTCAAAGGCGCTTTGTTTTCCCTCGATCATTGGATGTCAATCTCAACGGCACATCGTATTTTTCAATCTCAACTCCATGGGGACCATACAACTCTTGCAGCCATTAAGGCATACCAAGTTAATGTGGCATTCCTATCCTTACAAGGTACTCACAGCTGGGTGGACTGGGACATATAGTCACAGTAGTTTGTCCACATTGATGTACCCGCAACTAGGTGCTTGCACCTATTCATGTGGCTACAATCTGGTCATATACCAACGGATTCATGGGTTCGTTTAAGTGCACAGGGTTGTGTAATGTACACTAGGTGTTGTGATAACACTGAAAGAGTCTGCACACAAAGTTGGCTGCACGGTGTTTACACCCGGTCACAGGTGGGCTCGATCCAGGCACCTTAAGCTCCCCGGATCACTAGTCTGGCGCCTCAGATCGCTCGCCCACCCCCACCCATCTGTAATACCACACGGGTAAAGGTTTCTCCAGGGGGTTCTGCATATAATGTCATTACATTTGTCTTTACAGATGAATTATACGACCGATGAGTTGTGGATAACCACAAGTGGTGAAGCTGCGCAATACTGGGTCGAACTGGATGCGGTCAAGGTCATCGGATGGCCAGCCTAGGATATTTTCACATGGTGCATCGAATGCTCATAGCAGATACTAAGACAAGCCTGGTTGTTAACTATAAGCTTATCAGTACATTGAGGATGTTCTGGCCGAAATAGTGAACCACAAAATATTTGGGAACAATGAAAATCTGAAATAATGATTATACATATTTAATACCTTGCGTGTGTGGAAATACGGAAATAGAAAATACATTAACTAAAAGGAAAATATGTTATACGTTTTACTTAAAATGTTGAATTTTCTTAATATTATATATTTTTCCAAATATCGTCCAAGTACCAAGTACCATATCGTATATACCAAGCTGTTTGGCTTTTCTTGTCTGAGAAAACAGTTGTATGTGTTTGTAAGTGATACCTTAAACAGTGTTTCCTTAACTGTTGCACAGCGTAAACCGTTTTGAACATCTTACATGCTATAACATCTTTACAAGTTCATATTAAGCAAATATAGTTTGGCAGCCCTGTTAGTTCAAATGTAAGTGTTATTGGCATCTTAAAATGTTAAAAATGAATAATCACCATGTTGTATAGGAACATGCCAGGTTGTAGGCAGGAATCGGGAAGAAGCCATTCATTGTTAATATTTTGTTTAACCTTTTGATTCATAGTAAAAATGCATTGTATGTATATCTACAAATAAAGACATATTGCGTTAAAGTCATTTCGTTACCCATGAGAGGAAAAGTCATTGTTCTAAACATCGTTGAGTGCCAAGTTAGGAAGTACAATATAAATTTATGGAAAACAACTTATTTTATTTCGACGTTTCGATACAGATGCTTGTACCTTTGTAAAGCAGGTCAGGTTTGTCCATATTGTTCCAAACAGTCGCAAATTTCTTGCGTTAGAACAATGACCATATTGTACGTACGCTTCTGTGAATATCAGAGGCAATACAGGTCAAGTTAACTTTCATGAGGTCCACAGCTCTACCAATAGGCGTATCAATAACTGTTGTCGAATATATGTACATGCTATTAGATGTAGATTTCCAGGCTGAAACATTAAGTTTACCCAAATTGAGGCCGTAAAGGCTTTCGGTGAGAAACCAACAAAGAGCAAAGAAATGTGTAATATATTTTTTCAGCTAACATTAACTAAGTTTAAAATGAACACAACATTCTGACATGGGTTTTAAATGACTTTATAAAATAGAGTGGTAGTACAAATGCAATAGCGGTTTAATATCAAAGCAGTGATTACAGCAAAGAGACAGGGGTGTAATAGTCCCCAAGCTGCGGTTGTGAAGCTTCCGTAATATGCCTAGGTTGGGAAATCTGGATGAAATACAGCTCCTGGTCTTGATATCAGGTGAGATAAGTGAGGGAGTGAGTTTAATTTTACGCCGTACTCAGCAATATTCCAGGTATATGGCGGCGGTCTGTAAATAATCGAGTCTGGACCAGACAATCCAGTGAACAACAGCATGAGTATCTACCTGCGCAATTGGGAGCCGATGACATGTGTCAACCAAGTCAGCGAGCCTGACCACCCGATCCCGTTAGTCGGCTCTTACGTGACTGAAGATCAATTCTAATCCGGATCTTCACGGGTCAGGTGAGATGAGACAAGCACGCCGTGTCCAGTGAAACATTATGCAACATGCTGGGTTAGATGATGCTGAATGATTCCAGCTGATCCAGAAGATTCCGGACCTGTCGACTCCAGTAACTAGCACACCGCTAAACATACAGTGTAACAGAGTTACAACACTGGTTTTTCCAACACTGACACATGACAATATGTTTATATACCGACATACGATGGATTGATTTTATTGTGTACATTTGCCGTTTAGCCCGGATATCAATTTGACGAACATGAATATCTTGAGCTGTTGTGTCACAAACTCTACCTCTCTAACAGACCAAAAGCTTTGAAGATGCACATTTTGTCAGTTCTATGTGCCTCACATGGCGGGTCGGCCTTCCCAAGGTAACATACGGAATCCACTACCAATACCTGAATTACCGTAGCCGTTGTAATTAATTTGATTAGTTGACCAGTGAGTAACACTTTATAGTGGCGTCGACCAGGTATAGGTCATACAACCATACCATTCAATGACAACATAATAGCCTGTAATTTATAATGTCCACATTAGGAAAACCCTCCAACTGTTTGTAGGACTTTAAAAACTTATTTTAAACAACATCACTTTCCGCCGTTAGTCTTATCTACAGTTATGGATGTACCACGTGCCAGAGAGAATTTACCAACATGTTTAGGTATGGTCATCTGGCCAATACACTTGGCATGACCCTTCATCAATCAGCAGTTATCAGTGTTCTTATCGGAGAACCAGAACAGAAAGAGCAGCATGAAATGTGGCATTATGTTTCTGTATTACTTGTCATCCTCTCCACCCCCAGCATCCTCTTCCCAACTGCTTCCTGACTCCTCTGAAGACACGGCACGGATCACTTCAGTAGACGCCTTAGCATGAACTGAAGTTAAAAGAAAAATACGTCATACTGCGTGCTTATAACACAAGTACAGAGTCGAATGTAAATTAGACAATACAAGATTATATTATTAATTGGTTACATATATCCACACGATCATAATACAACTCAATGCGTAGATTACTATTGCTTGATTGAGGTTTCCATGTTGCCTACATTGCCTTGTTTCATCTACTGACAAGGCTTTTTAATAGATGAATCATTAAATAAAGAAATGATTATGCAAGTCGTGTCCAACACCGCTCTTAGACCCAGTCGTGCCCCGTTTATCCGGACCTTAGAGAAAACTCGGCTTTCGAACGAAAATTCATTAAAACGAATTCACAACGTTTTAAAATTACTCACTTATCCGGAAATCCGGTTTCCGTAACCGGAGGGTCATTTTCACATACTAAACGCTAAATTATATGCATTTTTTTCTCGAATATCCGGATGGCTGAGCACCTGTCAGTATGTTTAAACACGCATTTTGCAGAGTGGCCCTAACATGAAAAAAGCCGTCATTCTTTGAAGCTTGAGAGGATTAACTGCCCTTAATTAGCAAGGTGACACTGAGTTAAATTTGAGGTATCTTTATTTGTGGGTCACTATAATTACGCTGATGAATTGTTGTGATCAGAAACGTTGTCTGTCAAAATGGCAAGCCAACCAACAAAGCATAAACGCCATGCCATTACAGCGAGAGAAAAAAGAGAAATTTGCAAGTACAAACAGCAGTATCCCTCAGCAAGTCTGGAAACCCTGAGCAAACATTTTGGCACAGAATTCGGTCACACCATTGGCAAGTCGACAATCAGCGACATTCTAAAAGACAAATCAAAATGGCTAGAAATTGTTTGTTTGTATGTCTTTTTACATATGGTCCTCGGTTCATATATCCTGAAATTCATTTATCCGGACACTTTCAAGAAAATCACAAGTGTCCGGATAAACGGGGCACGACTGTACTGACTTCTAGATAGCAAATCTGTCAATGTGTTGGCAGGGTAACTAGCTCAGAATTAAACCGAAGAATTCGTCGAGCCAAACAGATTTTAATTACTAACAGTGAAATGAGTCGAGCGGTGATTATAACTCTGAAACGATGGGACAAGTCCAGCAAACAGGGTTATACAGGTGCAGGCTGCCTGACTGAACAGATACACACTTTTATTACCCACGTGGTCAACGTATGGGTAGTTGCATACTAATCTCGTACGTCACACGAATGCGTGTCGCGTTGACCTGTTTCGTAACGGCTTGACCTGAGATTCTAACGATTTGATTGGATAACCGATGACCTCTCAATTAGGTCACGTTGTGACGGAACTACTTTTTCATCCATAACAAACTCGTGAATTCATTCATTCTACAACTTATATGCATTGTGGAAATGTAAACATTGCGAACGTTGCCGTATCCACACTCCGGCGCAGTGATGACTTAGTATAACATCACTGCCACAGGCTGATTGGCATATCACGTGACCGGACTTTTCTCTTGTTTGTAAACAAACGCACATATTCATAATAAGAAGAGACTGGCCTTAAGCAATCTTTCTGCGCGCTCTTCACAATGTTTTACATTGTTACATTTATATTTGTCCATAACTACGGCAGTAAGGTTTATGACAGTACATATTTAGATATCAAACTGGCTGCATCGTTCATTCTCCGTCGGCTTCGATGACAGCACGTGGAGCCGTACAACCTATGTAAACAAAGGATCGCTACGCAAATCGAAATAGTGCTTTATGTTTTAGGATTTTTTCTCTGTGGAACTATACCATTCCATTACAGATGTTTAATTAGATGTGCAGACTCGTTAAAAATAAAAGAGTTAAGAAATATGTACATTATATTAAATGGACTGGCTGGCAACATGGAACTCTGGGTAGGAGAGTGTGCCGTATCGATAATTAATTGTGAGTCGAACTGAGACATTATATGCGTCGAAAAACATGAACGCAAAGTTCATTTAAAGTAATTTAATGTAGGAGGCTGTACGAGGCGATGACAACTGACATGCATCGTGACGTCGGTTACCAAGGGGGCGGAAAGAACAAGGCGTAGTGACGCCATTACAGTGTGACGTCATGCAAAAAGTGTACTACAGAACAACATTCTTCCGCAACCTCTTTATGAAACCGGTTTCGGTTTGAAACCGTAAAAATAACAAAAATACGCTTTTTTGTCACTTTAAAGCATGTAAGACGTGGGTAATAAATAAAATACCACACGAGGTCTCATAACATACGAATTATACGAAACTCGTGACCTTCTTATGGGAGGACACTCGTTTCGTATAATTCGTATGTAATGAGACCTCTCGTAGTATTGTCGATATAGGCAACAAAGACACAACAATAGGCAGATACAGAAACAATAGAATTACCTTGGACTTATTGATGTAATAATAATAATAATAATAATAATAAATAATAATCCCCAACACCACTTACTCATCTCCTTTACATGGATGACATCGAGCTACTTGCCAAAGGAGATACCAATTTGAAAGAACATGTTCTCCTTGTCGAGTCCTTTTCTAATGATATTGGCATGACATTTGGATTCGACAAAAGTACTACTCTCCATTTGAAACGTGGCAAGGAAGTTATGGTGGATCGGTCAAGTTACAGGGGTGAGGAGTTATTGAGCATCTTGTGGAAAATCAGGTCTACACCTATCTTGGAATGCAAGTTCGAGACAAGCTCCAGAATGCCCAAATTCAAGAAAAACCTCGGGTCGAGTACAAATCTCGCTTAAAGAAAATCTGGAGCTCAGAGCTAAATGCTCGAAACAAGGTCAAAGCCACCAATACTTTTGCTGTGCCAGTCTTCTCCTATTCCTTTTTGGAGTAGTTGATTGGACAAAAAAAAGACATCCAGAGTCTTGACCGCCTGACAAGAAGGATCATGTCTGATAACAGAGCCCACCACCCTCGTTCCTCTCTCAACCGTTTATATATGCCAATCAATTCTGGAGGTCGGGGCTTCATTAATGTGGAGGCTCTTCATGATAGAATTTTATTGTGTATTTTTGCACATATCTATTTATCGGATGATCGTCTGGTGATGCATGTCAAGACTCATGATGAAAGCAAGCAATTCCAAAGCTATTTTAAGCGTGCCAAAGTTGTTGGACAGAATCTGAAATTTGAGGTTGATTTTGTTGATGGCGATGTACTGCTGGACGGCGATGGGAGTAAACCAGGTGAAGTCCTTCACCAAGTCTGCCCAGAGTCGGTGTTTTGTGGAGAAGCTTTCTGAGAAGCCATTGCATCGTGTGTACATGCAGTGTGTAGAACAGAATAGCAATCTCACCGACTCCTTCGCCTGGATGAAGTTGGCTGGTCTCAAATGTGAAACTGAGGGCTTCCTTTTCGCTGCTCAGGACCAGTCACTTCCCACTCGCACTTGCCAAAATGTGATTCTTAAAGAGAATATTAACATGAAATGTCGACTTTGCAATGAATTTACAGAGACTGTCCAACACCTTGTCAGTGGATGCCCTTCTTTGGCACAAACAGCATATCTTAAATGACATGATGGCATGGCTCGCTGCTTTTACTATCGTCTCCTCCATGTCTGTTGCTTTGACTCTGAGGTCCATCTTTGGTACGACCCTGAACATGTCCAGGGCGTCATGGAAAATGATGCTATCAAACTTCTGTGGAATAGGCCCATATACAGCCTCAGAAGAATTCCTGCCAACAAACCTGATCTTGTCCTTTTTGATAAAGCCAATGAATTTATATATATCATTGAATTTTCTGTCCCTTTTGACACCAATGTGATTGGCAAGATTCAGGAAAAGCATACTAGGTATGAGGACCTCGCCTTTGAAATGTCTCGCTTGCATCCCAAGTACAGTGTCGTCAGGCTCCCCATTGTTCTCAGTGCCCTTGGTTTGGTGCCTCCTGATCTCTTGGCGCAGATCAGGAGAGTGCCCGGGTTCTCCACCGGGAGTACAGCCCTTCTGACACTCTGGGTAATGCAGAATGTTGCAGTGATGGGGAGCCTTCATATTCTCCGGAAAGTTCTTGGTGAGTTTGACTAGGCAGCGTTTCTTGGGAGAAGTCCCATTCGCTGTCTGGGCTGCGTGTAGAGGTGACGAGGGCCCTGAGCTGATGATGAGCCTTACCAGCCTGACTGTGCCAGGATCACCCGAACTCTCTCCGCTGCATTGTCATCTTTCATCTGTAAAATATAATAATAATAATAGTGAATTTATATAGCTCATTAATCCATGCTCAATGCATGCTCTAAGCGCACATATTTGTGGGTATTAAGAGTCATTCTAGAAAGTAGGTTTTAAATAAGTAGGTTTTTAGCTGAGATTGGAAGGAGGCAAGAGTTGAAGACTGTCTGAGATTGAGCGGGAGATTGTTCCATTCCTTTGCTGCATTGAAGCAAAGGAACGTTGTCCATAGTTCCCAGATTTCACAGATGGAACAGGAGCTTGTTTTCTGAACATAGTAATCGAGCTGGTTTGTACTCTGTGATCAAATCACACAGATATTGTGGAGCATCTTCAGACAGGCATCGATACACATGACACAAGATCTTATAGCTGATTCTCTGTCGGATTGGCAGCCAGTGTAGGTCATGTAAGATGGGGGTGATGTGGTCGTACTTCCTGCAGCTGGAGACTATCCGAGCAGCTGTATTCTGGATGTGCTGTAGCTTAAGCGTGTTGGTAACAGACTTGGGTGCACCGGCAAGGAGGCTGTTACATTAATAAATCCTTGATGTTACCAGGGAGAGAATCAGGATGATAAGAGATTCTTTGGTCAGGTACTTTCTGATGTTGCTGACATTCCTCAACTGGAAAGAGCAGACTCTGGCGATATGACTGACATGTTGCTTCGTGGACAGTCCAAAACAACACCCAAGTTCTTCACAGACCGAGTGACATCAATGCTTGAGCTTCCAATCTGAACTGCGGTGAGACCTGATTGGGGTCATCTTGCAGATGGGCCTATTAGCATACACTCCGTCTTGTCGTCGTTAAGCTTGAGTTTATTGATGTTCATCCAGCTTTTTATCTGTGTACAGCAGGTGGTAACGTCGGCAGAGGCTGCTTCTGCAATGGATGCTATTGGTCGGAACATTTTCATGAGCTGCGTATCATCGGCGTAGAGGTGTCTTGGCAACTTGTGCTGGTCGATGACATGACCCAGTTCTTTTGTATAAAGGGTGAATAATATCGGACCCAATACTGAACCTTGAGGCACACCGTAGTTTAGATGTACTGAATCTGAGAACTGTCCATCTATGTACATACACTGTGATCTCTGAGACAGATAGGAGCTAAAGCAATTCAGTGCAGAACCTTGGACACCAAAATCGTCCTGAAGTCGCTGCAGCAGTCTTTGGTGATCGATGGTGTCGAAAGCCGCGATCAAGTCCAAGAGAACAAGCAAAGCAACATTCCCCGAGTCGATGGCACATCTCAGGTAATTGACGACTTTGAGGAGAGCTGTCTCGGTGCTATGTCGAGGGCGATACGCTGATTGAAGTGGATCATACAAGTTGTGCTGGGTCAAGTGCTGTGACAGACGTTCTGCAACAGCTGTTTCGATGAGCTTGGAGAGGAATGGAAGGTTAGAAACAGGTCTATAGTGCTTGAGATTTTCTGTGGCAAGGTCAGGCTTTTTGAGGAGTGGCTTCACAATGGCATTGTTTAGAGAAAGGGGCATTTTACCTTCATGCAGGCAGCAGTTGATAATTGATGTCCAAGTTGGAAGGAGGATATCCATACAACTCAGTACAATGTTAGTTGGAATCGGGTCGAGTACACAGTAAGTCGGTTTAGATTTCCTGAGAAGTTTTAGTGTTTCTGGGACTGTGAAAGGGGGGAAAACATTCAAAACAGGTTTTTCATCAAAAGTATCGTCACATCCTAAAGAAGGCGCCAGTGTTTCGCTGTCATGGAGTGTGCATCTAATATTTTGGATTTTTTCCTGAAAGTACATTGCAAATGATTGAGCAATTTCTTTGGTGGTACCAATATCAGGTGAGGGATTATCCGCGGACTTTCCCATCAAGTTAAACATCAGCTTGTACAAGGCGTTTGAGTTAGATATGCTGTCAATGATTTTAGAGTTCATGAAATTCTGTTTAGCTTGTTTGATGACAATGCTGACCCTATTTCTGGCTGCACAGTAAATCTGACGGTGTACTTCCAGACATGACTTTCTCCATCTCTTCTCGGCTACTCGTCTCTCTGACTTGGCTTTCTTGACATCTGGACTGTAAAGCCAGGTAGCTTCAGGTCTGTGGGGGATTCGCTTGACCTTCTCTGTGGCATGTTTGTCCAGGAGCTCTAGAAGTACTGTGTTGTACATGTTTACATATGCTTCACAGGTTGAAGGAGGATCGGTCAACAAAGGTGACGTCAACAGATCTGAACGGAAAGTAGCAGTATCCATGTTTTTTATGTTTCTACACCTAACATATCTGACTGGATGCGATGGTCTTGCGATATCAATGTTCAGGGTTACTAAGTAGTGATCTGAGATCTGATAGTCGGTTACTCTGGAATTAGTTATGATGGGGTCAGTCTCTCCTGATTTATGAGTTGGCAAGGCTATGATTTGATGGCAGTTGTGAGCTTCTAGCATGCTGAGCATCTGTAAGGTATCACTTTTGGTTGTTACACCAAAGTTCTGTCCACACAAATTTGATGCAAAAGAATAGAAAACTCCTGATAGAAAACTGAGAATGACAATTGGGTTTTCTTTGGCGGGGGTGGACAATAGAGAGATACAATGTCAGTGGCAGTCTTGCCGTGAGTCACCTGAAACTGCATTGACTCAAAGGAGTTGAACTGGTCCACATGGCGAAATTTCACATGTGGCTGAGTAGCCTGTGTCCAATGAGAAAACTGATCGTATAATCCGAGGCCGAATCATTCTATAATAGACAATATGTGAATCCTGGATATATTATATTGATGAGATATCGACGAACATTCAGTATACATGTACATGTGAAACGCATAACATGATGCTTAATGAAGATTATACAATACCGGACCATCATATGTCCTGACAGTTTTATATCATGTTAGGTATAGCTACCTATACCCTAATGTCCTAGTTAAAAGCGGAGCAGTCTGATGGTTTAATATGTAGCTCGTCAAACCAAAGCATATGTAAGTTTATAATGCAACTAAACGAGCATTGGGCGGTCCGCTGCTCGTGGATGGTATCGATTCAAAGATTCGCGCAGTTACTTTTCATTACCACCAGTATTGTTTCAGGCTTCGTTTTTCAGTATATGCATTTATAATGTTCACTGAAAACTCACATAGTTGTTCAGCAAATATATTAACCATAGTGGAGGCAAGATACTTTTATTTATTTTTAATTTTTTAATTTGATTGTTTTTAAAGATGTTTTAGAGTCTATTCCGAAAACTCAACAAAGGACATTTAGGTTACAATACAATACAAGCATATGATGTACAAATCATGTGAACAGTTCATGACATGAAGACCAGAACTTATAAAAGGCGCTGATATTACACGCCATTAAAGAAGAGCACTTTGTTATCATATAATAATGTCTAATTTCATTCTGGAAAACATGGAAAGGTGGCACACTGTTTTTTTAATCTGCTTCCAAAAATTAGGTTTTTAAAGAAAATAATAATAATATTGAGAGGGTCATTGTTTTTGTCTGGGAAACCGAGCAATACCTGTTTTCTTGATACTTTGATATTGACAAGACCTTTATGATTTAGCCAGATTTTAAGTTTTTGCCAGATATGGTTGACTTTACTGCAAGACCAGAACACGTGATCGAGTGTCTCAATTTCGTTTTGGCAAAAGCTGCATTTTGAATTATTTATATACCCAATCTTAAATAACTTTATATTTGTCGGTAAGATGTGATGTAGTATTCCATATTGGATACTTTTATGGGTTACTTGTCTATTCTGTTGTGATGCGACGTGATGGTACAGATAATTACACCATTGTCAAGTGTGAAATACTACAGCACAGGCTTATATACATCACCCAAGGAGTAAGAAAAACAATATTAGGTTATGTATGAAAGTTATTAACAACAACAATGGATATTGGCGATGAGTCTGTAACAAGCGAATGAGGCCAGCTGTACGCGAGGAGAACCAAATATGTAATGCTGATAAGATTATTTAGAGACAATAACTGGAGTGTCCTGTTTCATCAACACAACGTAGTGAGATGTTTTGCTTCACATCTGATCTATACCGAAACACCGTATCATAAAATCATTCATAAAAATATCTTGGGTTTACTGTTGATCCAAAAGATCTAAAATGCCAGTCAGACAGTTAAGTTATTAACCATAATTCATAACACAATCAACCATGAATTTCTTCATATATTCAACAAATTTTGAGACGAGAAAAAATCTACCGTGTGAATTCTCAATAATAAAGGATTTGCTTGACCTTTTGCATTTTTCAAAAGAACCAAGATTAATGTTATCAAAACAAATAGTTGTTTTAAACTTTGCACAATACTATCCCACAAGAAAAATCTGTGGACAAACTTTATTCCTTGATCCAGGTAGTAAACCTATTTGGTACTAAACGCGGTTATGTAGATAATGTTACATTCCTTTCTTGAAAGGTTGAAGGAAAATTTACCAAAATTGAAAGCCAGTGTCATCTGAAGTTATAACAATATTTGACACGCTGTACCTTATCATAGATACGATCCATGTATACGTTTGGGGTAAGACATCCGTACCCATTTTGCTGATAGCCAACTTTTCAATAATGTGGTATAATATATCTATTGTAATTTTACAAGAGCCTCTTAGATTTATCATGTGACAACACTGATAAGGTACCTGTAATGTAAGCCCAGCATCAACACACCTGTAACGCATTACTGTAATGTGGGCCATGGCGCCTTGATTACATGAATAAAACTGTCTGTGTGTCTGTTTGTCCAACTTTCCCTTTATACAATATCCATGCAGCTCGAGTCGCTGGTGCTTACATTTTCATATTGAGCATGCTTCTCAATGAGCGACATAGAATTCAGAAGTTGTTTCAATCAAGGTTTATTGGCTCGTTATAAATCGTAAATCAATTATGATTTCTAGAGTTCATAACTTACCCAGTTTGAAATAATAAGAGAAATAGTGATCGGCATGAATGGTGCAGTTGCTGGTGAGGTTCAGAGCTTGGTTGTACAAATGACAGGTGCTTGTGGTATCGTCGTAGATGAAGGAGATACAGAGACGGTCGGTGGCACACGCTCGGGTACAGTCCAATATGGTCACATCCGCTACTTCACCCCTGATCCCCTGGCTGCACAACCGACCATTCAGATGGTCAGAATAGAGGAAGTTAACATACTCCCCGGAAAACACAGTCGGCCGAAGCACCAATATGAATAGAAGAAGAACAGGAACCTCCAGATGACGGCACGTTCTTGCCATGACATCAATCATTTGACACAGCGCTCTCAGTTTCTCCGATCAGATAATGATGGGATGCTTGATCCAACTGTCCAGCCTGTTGCGATGCAACGAAACTACACCAACGAATATTAGATATGACAAATCAAATATGAACTGACATAGTCTTGTACAGGCTGAGAAGTATTTGCAGTACTGGACGGAAATACCTCCACGGAATAATAAAACTTGATTTGTTTTCAGGGTTAAAGTTAATCCGTCAGGGTTTAGAGAAAAACGTGTAAGGTTATAGCGTGTATATGCCATTCTTGTGCAATAATAGCACTGTGTTTTGACATACAAATAAATATTGTCTTTTCTCCCATGGGCGTCATTAGTGGAATGTGAAATGTTTGTAAGTCAATAACCAGTGGTTTATAGAGTAAGTATTCACTTCATTTCGGTATTTCTACAGCTCATGTACATATGATCATTATTTACAACAAACTGTTAAGCATCGTTAGGGTTCGGTTTGTGTTATGGTCTAGGAGAGTGGGATTGATTGGTGGCAGTGCTTTGTTGTGTCATGTAAAATACGACACTCCAGAATCAGCTTCAGTCAATAACTGCTGGCGTTTCTCGATCAAACGGGGGCGGTGGGTAGGTTAAAGCGTTCGCTCGTCACGCCGAAGACCTAGGTTCGATTCCGCACATGGGTACAATGTGTGAAGCCCATTTCTAGTGTTCCCCGCCGTGATATTGCTCGAATATTGCTAGAAGCTGCGTAAAACCACACTCACTCACACAACATAGGTACAATTGGATAGACATGCTATATGCATGTGTATAAAAGTGATGTTTACGTTGACAACATTGATGTTGGCACGTCACAAGGACGATATTTCCATGTAAAATGGCAGAATTGTGGAATATAGGATACCCAAGGGGTCAGCATGTTCATTAGCCATTGTCTTTTATATACAATGTTACATTATGGGCGGTAGGGTAGACTAGTGGTTAAATAATTCGCTCGTCACCCCGAAGACCTGGGTTCGATTCCCCACATGGTTACAATATGTGAAGCCCATTTCTGGGGTCCCCCGCCGTAATATTGAACGAGTATTGCTAAAAGCGGCGTAATACCATACTCACTCACTCACTCACTCAACGTTACATTGTCCATGCTTGTCTGCTATATGTAGAGTATTTACAGACCGCTGCCATATAGCTGGAATGTTGTTGAGAGCGGCGTTAATCAACAAAACTCCTACGTAGACAATAACATGCTTTAGGCATGTGCCATATATAATAATGTAAAAAGACAAAGCAACAAGCTCTAACGAGCAAGCCAATTTTCAACAGCACTATTCGAATGAGAAAAAATGTCTTCAAAACTCTGATTCAAGCTCTCAGAATCTTATCACGTTAATAGATGTTGGACAGTTACTGTAGGTATTCTCTTCACAGGTCAGCATATCCTTGGTGTAACTGAGGTGTGTGTGGCAAATGTACGTCCTGGTCTTGATGTCAGGTGAGATAAGTGAGGGAGTGATTATAATTTTACGCCGTACTCAGCAATGTTCTAGCTATATGGCGGCGATCTGTAAATAACCAAGTCTGGACCTGACAATCCAGTGATCAACAGCATGAGCATCGATCTGCGCAATTGGGATACGATGACCACGTTAGCGAGCTTGACCACCCGATCCCGTTAGCCTCATACGACAAGCATGGGTTACTGAAGATCGATTCTAACCGGATCTTCACGGGTCCAGATCAGACTGGCGGTTTGCCGCAATGGAGCACCGTGACTGTAGGAAGGGTCTTCTATGAGATTTTGCGGGTGTTTGAGAGTGACGACGGTGCAGATCAAAGCCGCTGTTCGCCTGCGTTCATCAAAATGAAAAGTGACGAATCGCTGAAATGCACTGAATTGTAGACGAAGCTACTTGACTCTCTGTTGTGAATTAGACTTAGTGGACGAGTCAAGGAAAGGTTGTCAGTGATGCGATAGTGGTTAATATGTGGATAGATAGTGTCAGTGTGGTTCTCTATTCAGGCAAGTGTTGTGTCTGCAGAGTCGACCTTGCCATGTTTAAGGTGACCGTTTTACGCCGCTTTTAGCAATATTCCAGCAATATCATGGCGGGGGACACCAGAAGTAGGTTTCACACATTGTACCCATGTGGGGAATCGAACCTGGACCTTGGGCGTGGCGAGTCAACGCTTTAACCATTAGGCTACCCAACCGCCCCTTAAGGTGACAGGCTCCAGCTGTCCCGTATGTAAATGTATGATATGGTCGTGTATGTTTATATCTATATGACTTTAGATATTTAGTTATTGATAACAGAAAGTGCATGTACATTCTAGTACTCAAGAGTTTATCAAATCATTCATCTTTGCCTGTCCGATCGGAATTCAAAGGTTTCAGTTCTTCGACAGCATGAAACCCAATAGCTATATGTGCCTTTGTGTTGCCCAGCTCTCGCAGAATGTATGAATCGTCACTAAGCGCCCTGGAGGCCTCATACACCCAAACGTTTACGTGCACCTGATCATGGTCGTGTGTACTTGTCCACGAAATGTCCATTAATTACTTGGTTGTTTGGTTTTGAGCTTGTTTTTTAACGCCGCACACAACGATATTCCAGCTATATGGCCGCAGTCTGTAGATAATCGAGTCTGGACGAGTCAATCCAGTGATCAACAGCATGATCATCGATCTAAGTTTTGAATCTAACTGTGATAGTTTAGTTGTTTTACTGTCCCTTGACGACAGGTTTCATATTATACATTTATATCGTATTAATGTCAAATTGGTTCTTGTCACAATATGGCTGAAACATGTAACGATAAAATATAACTCACTCACTCACTCTAATCCTGATTATAGTAGCAGCAAATGTAGGTCCGAAATAACCACCCAACGAGTTATTGATGATCATCGATCAGCATGTGGAGCATCGACCCGCGAGCATGATGACGACACATCAGCAACTAACAACCGGTTTGTTATAGTATTCACGTTGTGACGTGCTCGTACATACAAGGCAGCCAGCGAAGGGAACCCGCTTTCTGGTATTCGGGACCCACAAGTTCTGATAGGCAGCTGAATTATTCCATGCATGTGTAAATGACATGTAACATGCCCTTGGCGCCCTCTGTGTCCGTTCTTGATGACTCTGCTGGACACACTACAGTGGACAGCGTCAAAGGGCACATGTTTGGACACGGTATTCACGTGTGTTAGTTGAATATGTTTGGAAAAGCAATGAACGGATTTGAGATTAATATGTGTTGGATTTTCTTGAACATGGCAGAGAAATTATTTGTGTATACTTGGAATGTGTTTGGACATATCATGAACGTGCATGACGTAAATCTGTATTGACATGTCATGAAAGTGTGTATGTTAAATAATTATGTTTGGACATTATCATGAACGTACAAGTGTTGAATCTATATCGACATGTCATGAAAGTGTGTATGTTAGTAGATATGTTTGGACAAGGTATGAACGTACAAGTGTTGAATCTAAATTGACATGTCATGAAAGTGTGTATGTTAAATATGTTTGGACATATCATGAACGGGCATATGTTTAATCTGTATCGACATGTCATGAAAGTGTGTATGTTAAATATGTTTGGACATATCATGATAACGTGCATGTGTTAAATCTATATCGACATGTCATGAAAGTGTGTATGTTAATATGTTTGGACATATCATGAACGTGCATGTGTTAAATCTGTATTGACATGTCATGAAAGTTATGTTAAATATGTTTGGACATATCATGAACGGGCATGTGTTAAATCTGTATTGACATGTCATGAAAGTGTGTATGTTAAATATGTTTGGACATATCATGAACGTGCATGTGTTAAATCTGTATCGACATGTCATGAAAGTGTGTATGTTAAATATGTTTGGACATATCATGAACGTGCATGTGTTAAATCTGTATCGACATGTCATGAAAGTGTGTATGTTAAATATGTTTGGACATATCATGAACGTGCATGTGTTAAATCTGTATTGACATGTCATGAAAGTGTGTATGTTAAATATGTTTGGACATATCATGAACGTGCACATGACATCATGTGAATGAAATGTGTGTATGTTAAATATGTTTGGACATATCATGAACGTGCATGTGTTAAATCTGTATCGACATGTCATGAAAGTGTGTATGTTAAATATGTTTGGACATATCATGAACGTGCATGTGTTAAATCTATCATGAACGTGCATGTGTTAAATCTGTATCGACATGTCATGAAAGTGTGTATGTTAAATATGTTTGGACATATCATGAACGTGCATGTGTTAAATCTGTATCGACATGTCATGAAAGTGTGTATGTTAAATATGTTTGGACATATCATGAACGTGCATGTGTTAAATCTATATCGACATGTCATGAAAGTGTGTATGTTAAATATGTTTGGACATATCATGAACGTGCATGTGTTAAATCTATATCGACATGTCATGAAAGTGTGTATGTTAAATATGTTTGGACATATCATGAACGTGCATGTGTTAAATCTATATCGACATGTCATGAATGTGTGTATGTTAAATATGTTTGGACATATCATGAACGTGCATGTGTTAAATCTATATCGACATGTCATGAAAGTGTGTATGTTAAATATGTTTGGACATATCATGAACATGCATGTGTTGAATCTATGTTTCAATGGCATGGACACGTGCAATCTTTATGTAATGTGTCTCTCGGATTTATCCAAGCAACATATATCAGAAATGCTTAAGAGCTCTCCAACACGCTACACAACTACAATTAACTTAGACTGGCGCTATGCTCCTTCGATCGTGGACCCGAATGATTCACATTTTGTCAGCTCCTGCGATTTGCGGCTGAAAAAATCAAACATTAACCGCTGACCGTTCTTTTCTGGTATGTGATATTTACTACATCTTAGCTGTTAGCATCCCTGACTGTTACGTGATCGCTGATTGGCTGTCCCAACCCACGGTTTGATTATACATAATGGTAGAACTACACGTCTCCCAGGCGTCACTGCTGAAACTGATGTTAATTACAGAACTTGAGATCCACGTACAGAGCCAGATATGGACAGGTGTGAACATGAAAGCACACAGTGATGAGGACACTTATCAAGATGCATTTTGATATCAAGGATACATTGGATATGAATTACTCAGCCAAGCAAAGCCAGGTCAGTTTATTTATTTTCTCAGATAAACATGTGTTGGCTGTTTGTGGTTATATTCCCTGTCTCAGTTTTAAAAAGGATATAGATGAGGTTGGACAAGTTCTTGCTTGATTGCTTGGATCCATAGGTCGTTGTTCGAACCTCATATTCGTCCCGATTATTATCAACACCTATTCTTAGTTCAGCAGTTCCTTAAACAAGGTTACAACATGTAATTACTAATTAGAGCTTTTACATTTTTTGTAGCATACATCTGACTCTACCTCATCAGTGCCAGAAAAGATATCCAATAGATTCCAATATTTCTGTAAAATCTGTATCTCCTCTCTTTAGAGGAAACAGTTTCATATCTGAACATTTTCTCTTTTGGTGTATACCTGTAAGGTTCTACCGATTAGACGAAGTTACAATACCTGAGAGGTATTAATACATTGAGGAACAAGATCTGGATACCTACAGCTGCTGTTATATGTAAACGTAAACGCGATAAGGAAAACGTTATTCCAGGCTTGCCAAGTGGAATACGTCAGGACAAGCTGACTGAAATAAGAATGAAAGTTTTCTATTTGGAACATGACCAAACATTTTTTGAGTGTTTTGTACAAGAATTATGAGTCTGCCCCAGTGGGCTTAATTCTGCTCCCTACATGCAGTAAGCAAATATGAAGAAACACCGGATACGTATGATGAGTACTATGGTATCACAGTTTGATTAAGCCTTTATTTTATTTTGTTAATAAATATATGTGCAAGAACTCATTTCGTAACCACAGCAAATATAAGCTAAAAACAGAGTCGATTCCGCAAATCCGACTACCGTCAACATGACTTCTTTTAGAGGCATTTTAGAGTTGTATAGATGAAGGAAAACACAGGTTCTATGGATAGTCAACTTCTTCATTGCACTGAGTGCCGTCAACATGCTTATGTGTATCACTATCAAATAATGATGGTACCAGATATTCTCGAAATGGTAAGTGTATGTTATTCCTTCTGTGGCACCTGTCACAAACACTTGCAAAGGCACGTCAGTACAGCATTCAAAATCAAACTTGGAGAACTATAAATATTGCTTTTATGACTGCTGTTAGTTTGGATTTGTGATCATCGCGGCTGGAACTGGTGTAGTTCAGGAGTCCTTGAGCGATGAACTTTATGTCAATATACCGGTTGTACATGTATGCAGCCAGAATTCATGGACTGGAAGTCAAACGTCGTGATATCCCTATTGTATGGGGTGTTTCCGATTAATAAATATACATTTTACACGTCAGTAAGTCGCCTGTTTGACACAATGAAGCCGTTAGCCATATATGTCAAGTCGTAAAAGAAATATAGTGATGCATAACGTGAAGGGTGTTCCATTTTTATGAGATGCATACTTGGATAAGTGTTATTAAGGCGCTTTTCGACTCACTAAATAATTTCTGAAAGCAAGTTTTAATACTCCTGGAACATACCAGAACGAACTAAATATAGTTCGATATAACCGTGGTTTGCTGTATCATGTGGTGGTGTGTGGTCCTGTGCATAGAGCTCAGGTCACAAATCCGTTGACGTTAACCAACGTTGGGCACGGAGTCTTTGGATTGTTGACCGTATTTAGCAGCTTGACTCCTGAGAGTTTCTAGGACTTCAGTCCTGCCCCATAACGAAGCACATGTGATACATGTGAGTTTGTTCAAAATTGCCTCTGTTCACCCAGCAGAAAATGGGTACCCGGTAGGATAAATCATGTGACTAAAACCTTCTAGTGCCTCACAGGCAGCTTGGGTTATGCGGGGTAATAATGAACTGTCTGTTTGTATGCGCTTCGAGCATGCACTTGGTGTATGGATATTAGCGCAGTAGAAGTACACATTACTATCATGTAAGCAACCTTTAAACCGAAGTATGACATACAGTTTACAGGTTCTAGCACTCTATGTACATGGGAAATGTACATGTTAGTGTATTGCAGGAGGTCCGTAATCCCGTCAGTGATTCATGACATGTGTATTGTAACATACATTGAAGCACATCAGCTAATTCCCGACTTCACCTCGCATCAGCAAGGGGGCGTTTTGATTGATGGAGGACGCCATAGTAATTATAGAGCATTATCATATGTCGAGGATCATCACCATATTAGTCAGAATACATACTGGTAGCTGTGCATGACGCGGATCACATGTTTGAAGTTTGACAGTCGAAATTGAGTATCAAACACATTAAGTCAGTGGTGGTTTTATTAAAAGCATTCATCCAATAAATCACAGCCTGTCCGTATGTTAGGCCATATAGTTAATGGAATGACACCGTGTGTGCTGCCAATATTCAAAAGCCAGGTCTGCACTAATGCACTGTGCATAGCAGTGGAAGATGTCAGTTTGGACCCATGTCAATCAAACATTCGGCACGTAGAGTTCCTACGTTGAGGAATTGTTGATTTTCATGAGAACTCAAAGGATCTCAAAGTACTTCCCAATGAAAGTCTTCAAATGTTTTCAATGGCCTGAACTTCATGTGAGTAGTTATGAACACGCTAACGTAAATTAGAAAAAATCGTACCACGAAGATTGTTTACCGAAGTAAAACAAATACTCGCTAAACGTGTAGATAATGTTACAGGGAGCAGACACCGACTACCTACATTTAGATATAACATTAGGTTCAGCCGAACTGTTATGTAATAATATCATGATAATATAGTCACTTCCTAATATACCACAGTGTGACTTGGACTGTTGACCTTGCATTGACCTTGGACTGACATGCTTGTCGTAAGAGGCGACTTACAATATTCTGGTGACAAGACACTCTCATTCTGTCAATACATGCGATCTTATCTCAGATTGTTTCTCGGGATGTCAATTACCGGGTTGTCTCATGGGCAGAATTGATTGAATATTTAAAGACAGTCGCCATAAAGCTGTGTTATTGGTGAAAAACAAACAAACATATAAACATAACACACCAAAGAACAAACTATAAACTGGCAATATCCAGCAACTTCATCCGAAGATACCAATCACTACTGACCTGTTTCTCAACACAACGAAACATATATCTTTATCCTCGCTTCACAAAGTCGTTCCCCATGGCAACCCCAAACAAAACGGACTGTAACATGTTATTGGAACCAACCAGGAACAAACTGCTTCCTGCTTCCAACAACCAGATCAGCAATATCACCAGAATACGGAACATTACTACACGACAGCATACCGTGAACCGTATCAGGAAGGCAGTTTTCACTTTGGTAAATCGATATGTCTACAGAAGCTTTGTAACCGGTGTTTTCCATTGGCAATGGCGTCTATATCATCATTTATAACAGCTTCCAGTATTTTCCCTTACCAGACAGGTAAAGGTATTTGACAGTATTGTCCCTTACCAAACAGGTGAAGGTATTTGACAGGATTTTCCCTTACCAGACAGGTGAAGGTATTTGACAGGATTTTCCCTTACCAGACAGGTGAAGGTATTTGACAGGATTTTCCCTTACCAGACAGGTGAAGGTATTTGACAGGATTTTCCCTTACCAGACAGTTATTTGACAGGATTTTCCCTTACCAGACAGGTGAAGGTATTTGACAGGATTTTCCCTTACCAGACAGGTGAAGGTATTTGACAGGATTTTCCCTTACCAGACAGGTGAAGGTATTTGACAGGATTTTCCCTTACCAGACAGGTGAAGGTATTTGACAGGATTTTCCCTTACCAGACAGGTGAAGGTATTTGACAGGATTTTCCCTTACCAGACAGTGAAGGTATTTGACAGACAGGTGAAGGTGTCCCTTACTAGACAGGTGAAGGTATTTGACAGGATTGTCCCTTACCAGACAGGTGAAGGTATTTGACAGGATTGTCCCTTACCAGACTGGTGAAGGTATTTGACAGGATTGTCCCTTACCAGACAGGTGAAGGTATTTGACAGGATTGTCCCTTACCAGACAGGTGAAGGTATTTGACAGGATTTTCCCTTACCAGACAGGTGAAGGTAGTTGACAGGATTTTCCCTTACCAGACAGGTGAAGGTATTTGACAGGATTGTCCCTTACCAGACAGTGAAAGTATTTGACAAGATTTTTCCTTACCAGACAGGTGAAGGTATTTGACAGGATGTTCCCTTACCAGACAGGTGAAGGTATTTGACAGGATTTTCCCGATTTGTCGATAAAAAGAATTAAGTACTAAGTAGACTATAAATCTCAATTTTAGGAATGGACTTCCATAACTTATCCAACGTGCAGGAACCTTCATTCTCATCGGGTGACACCAATGACGCAAGACACGCTCGACCCTCTACGGACATCTATGTACTAATGTATGAACGGATCTTTTGTGAGAGTGTTCTACTTGTACATTGTGTGCAACTGTGGATGGAGATTTGGATCCGTCGCCGGGTCACACCGTATGAAACTGCCGCAAGGCTTACATGTAGCCTATCTCAATAAAACCGGGCTAATATGCTCCACAGAGCTACACACTCAATGACACACACACACATACACGAACACGAACAAAAGTTACCCTATGACTTATATACGACCATATTCATGTATATACAATACCTTATATATTCAATATAACATGTGTTAATATATGTTACTGTTAACATCGACCATTAAATACAATTATCGTTCCTGTTGCAGTGAATAGCAGTTTCTATATTATCAACAGCATCGCGTCTAGCGCAAATGATATAACAGGAGACTGTACTGAAGATGGTTGAACTCTTTGTAGAAGCTAGATTATGACTGGTGCGCAATGCATAACACTTTCAGGTTGTAACATGAAGTGTGGATACTTTTCTGTGAGTGATGATAGTAGATGTTTATTGTCTTTATCACCCTGTGGCTTTGACATGTGTCTCGTATACTGTGATGTAGCTTGTAAATTCAAGTAAATTTAAGTCTTCAAACCCAGACAATCGATATCTTTGGAAACTGGTCAATCAGGAAACTGATTTTCCATGTCAGTTGAAACATGAAAAATAATCCGTGCAATCTTGGATTTCA